AAATGCTGTTTACACTTTAGCATATCGTGAACGGTTTAGAAGTTACGGCGGTGGCTCATGATTGGTGGATCAATCTCTCCATTTCCAGGATTTGGCACTTACTTTTCGCCCTTCTGTGAACAGACTTCAGTTTTTTGTCGGAGATGATTAAATTTTTTCTTCGTTTCGCGTACATTTTTTAATTTTTGTTTAAATTATTTTTTTATACAGCTGACCACATTTTCTCTCTTTTCTGAAAAGACAAGTTTGAGATTTCTAAAAGACAGGCACATAAAGTACCAATTTTGTGAACATCTCGAATATTAATTTTCTTCTCCAGTAACCGAAGTGCACGTTTTTTAGTCCATTCATTTCGTCAATTTCTTGCTGGATAGCGTTGCAATGGAGTTCAAGCTTATGGAACCAAATAAGTGCTGTAACCTGCCGGGAATGTTCTGGATGCAGGATTTCATGGCTAATAAAATAGATATACTCTTATAACACATTTAATGAACAATAATGATCATTATGAGGATGAATTCGAGCATGCACATGATAGGATACATGGAATTTACATTCTTTTCTTATGTGTTTATACAGACAAGTTTTACTCCTGCTACAAAAATGACTTGCCGACTCATTGAAATTACACTTTATTGACGTCTCCCCGCGTTCATAGCGAGGAAAAAGGGCGAGCAGTGACCACAACTAATAACACTGATTGTCCTTACTGCTTTGTTGAATAGCGGCACGGCCCTGCACCGTCTGGGCAGCCGCACGCGACGTGTTAGGTAGTTGTAGGGAGCAAGGACGGTTGTCTCATTCTCGCCGGCCGGCGGACGGCGCGCGTCGGTTCACCGGCGTTTCCAGGCACCGATCATTTTCGAAAATCAAGTGAATTTGTCATCTGAGCCTTCACGCAATCCGAACCTGGAGCACTTCTGTCATTAAGTCTGTGCACTCGCGGTGCTCTCCTAGTGAGTCTCAAACTCGATCTCCAACTAAGTCCTTCCGAAAGAGGCGGGCCCTTGCGGCTACGCACGCACCTAGGCGCGCCGTCGCGATGACCCGTCTTGGTGGCGACGGCGTTCCGGATACGTTACCGGCGAAGGCAATGCGGCGATCAAAGCCTACCGTGACTATCACATACGGGTGGCTAAGGTTCTCCCGTACGCAGTGATGGTTGGAGGTTCTCAATCACAGGAAAAAAAGCCTTCCTCGAGGCTCACTCTATGCCGGGATCATGTTCAAAAATAAAGTGAATTTGTCATCTGAGCCTTCACGTAATCCGAACCCGAAGCACTTCGATCATTAAGTCTGTGCTCTCGAGGCGCTCTCCTAGTGAGTCTCAAACTCGATCTCCATCACATCTGTCTCTATCCCGATCACATCTCAGCTCTATGTCGGTCACGTCTCTCCGACCCTTCTGCCTTTGCGGCCCTGTCCTTCGAATAACCAAAAATCGGAACTTCCTTCTTTCGCGTGCATCCCAGTCTCTGATTGCTCAGCATCGACTTCGGGGAGCATTGGCGGTGGTGCTTTCGAACCAGTAGCGTCCTAAAACGTTTGTATAAAAAAAATTGCCGTTGAAGTTTCGGCGACAAAACACGGCCCCTGCGCGCCTCAAGGGGGCGCCCTTTCTTCCTTGCGATCAGAGGAGTGCGACATGGAAGCGCTCTCCTCCGGGTTGTTTTCAGTTACTCGCTGAAGTTCGCGGCGGCCCCCCTCCCTCAGTGGTCTGTGGATACACGCAGTGTCTTTTTGAAATCATTCTTGGGCGAGAGAAACGTTTTGACCGGTGCGACACCGGACGCATTGGGCGGGGTGGTTGACATAAAAACCAGGCGGCTGTTCTTGGGTGACCTTTCCGAGAGCTGGTGTGCAGAAACCTCCTCCATTGTTTCCCGTGGGGGCGGGCGGTCCTGCATCGGGCCGAGTTCCCCACTAAAGTACTTCCCGCCGCCGTCGGGACCCTTGTCTATGCCGCGGGTCGCCGATGCCCCCAACGGTTCAATTTGCCAGCCTTGGAGCGTTGCGAAATCAACACGTCTTTGTTCTCAGAGCTGGCGTATCGTTACAGTTCTTATTGAATCATGGAGTATATTCTCTCTTCTAAAGCGTCATTTACCTCTTTAAAAGTCTTTAGAAGCTGTAGCAATTGTCAAACCAAACTATTGACGTAGCCTTTCAATTTCTCTGTGGCATTGTTTTTCTTATCATTTGGAATACTCTGTCATACTCAACAAACGTCGTCTTGTGTAACCTTTCTCAGTCAAGCTGGAGCTTTCTATACATTATATACCCTTTTCCGTGCTGCCGATTACACAAATGTCATTCTCGGGCCGCTTACTCAGGTGACCCCAGAAAAGAGGGAATATATACGCGTGTTATGAGGAAAAATCAATCGGTATGATTCCTAAGCAAAGAAATACTGCTGTCCATGTCAACTTAAAAACGTAAGCATCACATATAATTTTAATAACTTTTTTGTTAAGGAACATATTTGTCAGACGATTCTCACGGACATTGCATTTATATACACACACTTTACACTAAAAAACTGACTACCTTCGTACTTAAAAAATCCAGTGTTTTAATGTATACTAGGTTATTATCATCCTATTAATATTATCATTATTAATATTATTATTAATAATAATAATAATAATAATATCATCAACGTAAACAAAAGCGTCTAAAATATGAATAGGCTGACAGCCACCTATCCAGAGTTTTCTATTTCTGAGTGGCAATCACCATCTAATGGTGGGAAACTGGGAATTAATGGCAGTAATTGTGTGAGCAGAAGTCCATCTAATTGAGACTGTCGCAAGTCTTTTGAGAAGGCGTATAAAATACATCAATAATATAAAATTGTCGTGAAGTAAAAATAAAGTCAACTTCTTTTTATCTTACGGCTTTATCGTAAATTATTTTGCAAGTTTTTTAATGCGTTCAAGGCTATGTAAAGAATAGTTCATATTTGTCAATAAAATTACACAAGATATGAGCAAATGAATTTATTTTATCAATGCACGTGACCGTTTCACAAATCTTAAGTAAAATTATTCTTTGAAATTTTTCGATGCTCTCCTTCAGATAAGATTTTTCAGGGATTTCAAGGATTTTAGAGATTCACAAATTACATTCTTACGGGAATTTCTTCATTCTTACAAATGTACGCACTTTGTTGCAGAAAGATGTTAATGCTTTTGGCTGTCCGGATGACGACGCGTCACGGCGCCACCCGGACGGCCAAAGCCCTCGCGAGACTGGCCGCGGAAGTTTACGACTTCACGAAATAAAATGTAGACTCTGGTGACTCCTGGAGAACCACCTTTCTGTTTTTTATTGCTCAATATGGTTTGAAACTCACATCACTTTGTGAAAATCTGTAATAAAAAGATCTACTTTATGCACGAGGTTCCCTACAAAGAGCGCCAATTAATGCTTGAAATTCTTTCGAAAGATTTTGCAAATCGAATTTTTCCCCACTGAACCTTGAAATAATTAGACCATGCCTCTTGACCAACGTAGGATCTCACCAAGGTTTCGTGTGATTTCTCAAGGCTTACACTGTGACTGTGGAATGGAACGGCATAAGCGATAGGAATCGACTTCGGGTGAAGCAATCATGCTCGTAAAATAAATGTAGAAAGTACTAAACAGGCACCGTAAAGTACTAGTTATGAATACGACCATTTTAGATAGGGACAATTTTTATGCAGTAGCTATTTGGACTTCTAAAAGTACTATCAAAAGAGTACATAGAACCAAGCTAAGAACAATAGCGGAATGGTACGGAATAAAAATGAATGAAACGAGCTTTAAATGCTGCACATATTAGTGCAGAAAAACTATGTCGTTTCCATTCTTTAAAACGAATCATCAATTTGTGCGCGCTTTAAAGGAAATAATTGTCCCCGATTACACAGCGCACTTCTGACACAGGAAGGTCAATTGTAAAGAAATGGATTTCATGCCTTTGGACGCGCACACACATGAGATTTGATAATTCGTTTTCCTAAATATTTCTCCAACACTATTAATTTAGACCACTAGTTTAATTTGTATTTATTTGATATAACGCGGAACAATGTATTATACAAGTGAGTGGCGTAACTTTAGCACTTCATGCAATTTTTGAAGAGTTGAAGTTATTGTAATGCAGTTTTCACAGAAGTACATGAGGGTATGGATTAATCGATAAAATAATTCATTTGTATTTTTCGAGATATCGAGATTACTTTGTTTATTAATACGGAACTATACATATTTTTAGTTCTAGCATGGCGAGAGTAAAAAGACGAATCCAATGACATACATATTACCATATGCTACATAAGCATTTTTTTGGGAGTAATTTTGAGTTTTTGCGAGTCGTCTTTAGTACATATTTTGAATGTAACAGCTGCCACATATCACGCAGCGCTCCCCCTTCTATCGCCTGCTAAGTCACGCGAAAATATTTTTCTCTCTGTAGACCAGACGACCCCCCAAATCACACATACCAATCACAAAAATCACCTGGCTCCCTCCCAAACAGACTGTCAAATATCTTGATCGTCTTATATATATTTCCTTTCTGTTCCTTGTCCTATTCTACCCCTTACACACACACACATACACACACATTCACACACACACATATTACCTCACATTCCGGGAGACTGTTATGGTCGGGAGCTTAGAGCGTGTCTTGGCTGAGGCGGTGCCCCGCTAGTTGAGAAAAACGCCGCTAGCCGACGGCAGATCGGCGGATCTCGGCAACCAATAGAGCAAGATCACCGCCACATCCCGGGCTAAATGATGCACTACACTTACGGAACGTATGACTTTAACGCACTCGGAATCAGTAGATATCAATCAATCAATTAATTCAAAACTCAGCTCCATATGTGAATAGACTTTCAAATATAGTTCTGTAGAGCCGGTAATTTCATAAAAAGCCTTGTTATCTTTCTAGCCGAGGGATGTTTCTGTGTCGTGCGTTGACCGCCGATGGCGTTGCGTGCCCGCAGAGGAGGTGCAGTCGCTGCACCGGACGTCCAACTCGTTCCTGGTGGACTCTGCGGGCTGCCGCCTGCCGGCGCTGGACCCGCTGGACCGCATGGTGCGCGAGTACATCTTCCAGCCGCAGCCCCTGGACTGCACGCGCGGCCGCGGGCGGGCGCTCGTCGCCTCCAACCTCACGGCGCTGTTCGTGGTGGAGGACGCGCTGCCCGACTACAACGTCACCAGCGTCGACGACCTGTCCTGCTGCTACAGGCCCTTCTGGCGCAAGCCCAACGCAGGGGATGACGGCATCGTGTAAGGCGCTCGCGCGCACCGGTATCGACCGGCCTTTCTTTTTTTCTCTCACTCTCTATTTCTTTCTTTTTCTTTCTTTCTTTTTCTTTCTTTTTTTCTTTTTTCTTTCTTTCTTCTTTTTTTCTTTCTTTTTTCTTTCTTTTTTCTTTCTTTTTTCTTTTTTCTTTTTTTCTTCGTCTTCTTTTTTCTTTCTTTCTTTCTTTCTTTCTTTGATTTTTCACTTTCTCGCTTCCGCCTACGCGGTAGAGAGAAAGTTATGTAATGCTGCGTGAAATAACGGCCAATTTTCGCCCGGAGCCTCGGGCCTTATTACGGAGACCTGGTAACCAAAAAGTGGATGAATCCCCTTGTTAAATTTAGAAACACACGTGGTGTAGCCAGAATCCATGTTTTATGGGTCCTTGAAACCGAAAAAAAAACGATTGAAGTCCAAACGTCTGTCTGTCCGTCTGTGAACAACGCTAGATGCAAAATCGTTCAGCTGATTTTCTTCAAAATTAATACTCCCCTGTCAATCTGGCTGATGTCATGGCCCCTTGAATTTGAAAACGGTATTTTAATTTTGGAGGTAGTTTACATGAAGTCCCTGGAACATTTTCAAAATTTTCAAAAAAGTGGCTCCATCGTTTTTGATTATCTGTTGTTGTTGGATAGTGTGAAGGACGTTTAAGAGAACGGTTCTTATGTTCCCTGATTTTTAGAAAATCGCAAAAATTAAAACTTTTTTTTTCGACGTCTTCCTACAATCACAATTATGAAGCAAGAGATTTTTCCATTAATAAAATCTGTTTTTAAAGATAGATTTTCAAATAAGGTATGATAACAATTTTTCGAAAACACGTATACTTTTCGCATAATTTGTGCGGGAAATACAGGCAATTTTTAATTTTGTTTCAAATGTTCAAAATTTACCCATATTTCTGGATAAAGTTTGCGAAAACTACTCACATTTACGAAAAAGTGTATGAGTACATGACATTATTTCAAGATCTGTTATTCAACAGCAGATTGCATTTAGGAAGACAATCCTATATCTTCAATATTGTAGTAGTAGGAATTCGCCGACAAAATGTTTGAACTTTGCAATTTTTGAAAAATCAGATTTCAACGAAAATTAGATTTGCGCCATTCTTTGTAGCGTCTTTTACATTATCTTAGAACTAAGTATACACCAAAAATTTGGAACCATTTTTGAAAAAAAATTGAAAATGTAATTGTGCCACTCACAGATCCTGAACCGATTGAGGTGTATCAATATTCGAGAAATCGGCTGAACGGTTTACGCACTAACGTTGACCATAGAACGAAGGAGCGGACAGACGTTTGACCATCAATCGATTATTCGTTATCAACGTCCCACAAAATATGGATTCTGACTGCACATCATTTTAGATTAAATAATTTACTGTACATAGAAAAAAGATTCAACTTTTCCGTTACAAGGACCCGGCAATAAGAATTTTGCCGTTTTCCGGCGCACAATTACAATACTTTCTGTTTTTACGAAATAAGAGAGGAAGTAAAATCAGATCTTTTAAAATGGTCAAGTCATTTTTAATATAGAAATTTGGGGGGAAATTGCCTTTTTTTGCATAATTTATGCTTGGAAGTTAATGAAATTTATAAAAAATAATTTTCTCAAAACGGCTTTTCTTTAAAAAATTCCCCATAGAGCAAATGACGTTAAAAAATGGAGCAGGTCTCAATTTCATTAAACTGTCCGAATTTTTGAAAATTGAAAGTTAGAAATAATGCGAGAAAGTATGTGCTATTGAGGATGCCTAGTTTTGACACGCTTTGTATATTTCAACTGATAAGATAGATAGCTGTTTAATGACGTCAAATTGATATTCTCTATACGGAAACATCTTCTTTCGAATTTTTAATCAATCAATCAATCAATCAATCGTCATCGTGTTTCATAGAGTAAAGGTGTTCTGTCACTAAGATCAAATCAATAATATGAACTATATCTATAGTTCTAGTAGGGATACCTAGGATACGACAAGCAGGTTATGATGAACCCTTTAACTCCTGTGATCCTGCTCATCAAGGGATGTTCGCCGTGCTTCTATTTTGAAATTCTTAGCGGTTTTGAATCTGTTAACGTTCCATCGCAGGACTAGGGGCGATAAAGGGCATGTCCTCGACTAAAATGAAAGTAAAAATCCATTACCGTCCAATTGGAGAGGAAGATCTGCATCTCCATGGTCTACCCTATCGGGTCTAATGACTAAGTCAGGTGACGTGCGCGGAATCGCCGTTGCCCGAATTGCGGCTGTGCCCGCAGCGAGGCGCCCAACTGCACGGACTTCTGGCGGGAGGCGGCCGTGGCGGAGGCGTTCGTGCGCGTGGAGTGCTGGGTGGACGGGGCGCTGGTGTACGAGGACCTGCACGCCTTCGTGCCGCTGCTGCCCGAGGTGGAGGGGCGCTGCGCCGCCGCCGCCGCCCGCGAGGCCGCCGCCGAGGGGCCCAACGTGCTGCTGCTGGGCATCGACGCCGTCTCCAGGCTCAACTTCCACCGCCAGATGCCGCGCACCGCGCAGCTGCTCGTGGAGATGGGCGTCATCGAAATGCTGGGCTACAACAAGGTACTCCTCTGCTTCTTATTCTCTTTCATTGTTTCCATTAGCCTTGCTCGCCCTCTTCATCTATCTTTCCTCCTCTTCTTACCTCTAATTACTATCTCCTCTTTCTTCTATCCTCTTCCATTATTTATTTTCTTCACCACCCTTATATTCCTCATCCTCCTCTTCTTATTCTCTTCCACGTTTTCTTTTTTCTAGTTATCGTCCTCGTCCTGTTTTTCATCAATCTTTTTTTCTCTTCCTCCTTTCCTTTAATCTCTTCCCCTTTCTTCTAATCCTCTTCCGCTATATATTCTTTCACTGCCCTTATCTTCATCGTCCTCGCCTTCTTATTCTCTTCCATTTTTTTCTTTTTTCTACCTATCTTCCTCGTCCTCCCATTCCACATTTTCCTCCTGTTATTTACTTTAATAACTATCTCCTCTTGTTTATTATTCTCTTCCATTATTTATTTTCTTCTACTGCGCTTATCTTCCTAATCCTCCTCTTATTATTCTCTTCCATTTTAATTTTTTTCTTTATATCTTTCTCATCCTCTTCCTCTAGTTTCCTTTGATAACTCTATCTCCTTAACCTCTTCCTTCTTATTTTCTTCCATTTTACCTTTTCTGCTATAGCTCTTATTTCTACTCCACCGTCTCCTACCTCTTCGCTATTCTCTTTCATTCTCCTCCCGCCTCTCCTTTCATTCTCCTCTTCCTCCGTCTGCCGATCCTCCTGTGCGTAGGACAATACAGTACACGGAGAATGTAACACCCTAAAATTATACGAAGGAGGTAACAAAATAATACAGTTATCATAAAATCAGTTATGCTCTCCCATATATGTTAGTTGCCGGAAAAGTTGCATTCTTTGGCGTAAGTCTTTGGTACAGTTTTTAACACTATAAGTGATCAAAGTTAAGGATTTTTCTATCATAAAAAAATGTTAGAACCACGTTTATATATCCACTTCTCATGGTTTTCGATGCATCTAAATTCGGCCACTAAATGCTCAAGTACTTTTCGTCGTAGATTGACTTGGTTGATTTTTGTTTTAGAAATTAACAGCGGACATATTTTTTAACTGATGTGTTCCAAATAAGGAGTTACAATAAGCAACAATACGAAAGTTTATTTACCCAAAACCAGTCACCAATATACAATCTTGTGTACATATTACACAGCACAAGTTACTGTTCCTTCCCAAAAATAATTATGGAATTATCCAGTTCACAATACTAATCATTCGTAACTCACTACTTCTGCACTATACGACCTGAAATATTGCTAAGAACTTTCCGCATGAAGATATGTAATGGCTGTATTCCTGAGTGTGTTGATGATCAGTATTCGAATTCACAAGTATTATTGTTTATACCTTATCTGAGGCAATAGTTCCGAGAAGAACCAAAGTGTAGTAGTGTCAAGACTACAGTATGATTCGAGATATCCCTCGTTGGCTGTATAAAGTCACAAAGAGATAGTACATGTGTTCTATGATATAGTGGGAAGAAAGAACAGTAATAACACTAGGGAACAAAAATTTTATTTTTTTCATACCTCCAGAATGAAAAGTAGGTGACTTCAAAGGAAACAATCACGCTGAATTCGCAAATCATTATAAAAATGTTCTATGACGCAAGGTTTAAAAGATGTAAACCTATTTAGTATTTGAAATAAACAAAATCCATATTATACTAGTATACAAATCATCTACAAATGTAACAGAAGTTATCGTGTCGATTTGATGTGAAATGTGAAATTCGATGTGATCTTTCGATGTGAAATGACAATTTTCATTTTATCGAACCGATTCAATTCTACAGATCATGTGGAAAATTTCACTTCAAAACCACAAAATAAAAACTAACAGCCACTAAAAACCACAAAACTGTAATGTATTAATGTATTTGAGGCACCCGCAAACCAGACACTTCATGTGCACTGCGGGTACAGTTCCGCACGACACCGACTGACTGCCTCCCCAGCAGTTGGATACTTGAATACTTGCGATAAGGTAAGGGACTAAAATAATTGCCTTCGGTGACTGGTGCGCAGTAGGAAATATGAGGGTGCACGTGACTTGTTTTCAAACAACCGTTAAGGTTTACTAAGACCAATAAGACCTACTCGTAATTGAGTGCGACCACCAGACACGAGAATAAAGACGGCAATCCTCAAGTACAGAAGGTAAAAATCACTAAAGGCTAATTTCGTTTATTTCTCCTGAAAGTGGCATAGGTGAACTGAACAATTTTTTTTAAAATTTTAAATAGATTTTATGCGTGTTTATTATATCTTACAGGAGGAACGACTAGCTAAGTAGCTTTCAAGGTCGTGGTCTCTGGCAACGCTTGGATATTCATCGACAAGAATACTTCGTCATTTAATGTAAAATGTTCCATTGCTTGATAAAAGTGTAATAAGCAACCACCTTTTCCTGAAATGAGGTTCTTGTGCGGGGAGGGGGGGGTCAACAGATAATCATATCTTCCGAACCGTTTGGGATTCCTCGGTACATCAAAAAATAAGTTGGGGTGTATCTATAATTTGTTTAAATTTAATGATAGATTCAGTTAAATCGGTTCATACAGACATATATACAAATAGAGTTGATGTGAAATTGGTTTTTGTAATCGAATAAGCAAGTTGAGAAGGTATTTAAAACCTGATAATTGGAAAATCACATACAAGCACTTTAGATTTCTCTCTCTGAATTGAGAATGGGGAAGGAAATAGCCGACATTTGGGTGAGTGGAGCGCGGTGTTGCAGGTGGGAGACAACACCTTCCCCAACTTGGTACCGGCGCTGACGGGCCTGAGGGTGGAGGAGCTGCGCAACGTGTGCTGGCCGGAGGACCGCGCGCCCTTCGACGACTGCCCCTTCCTGTGGAACGACTTCCGCGACGCCGGCTACCGCACGGCCTTCGGCGAGGACGCGCCGTGGATGGGCATCTTCAACTACGTGAAGCACGGCTTCAACAAGCAGCCCACCGACTACTACCTGCGCCCGTTCGCCTCCGCCATCGAGAACCGCATCGGCCACGCCAAGGAGATGAACGCCAAGCTGTGCGTGGGGTCGCGGATGACGGTGGAAGTGCTGCTGCAGTACGTGAGCAAGTTCGCGCGCACGTTCGCGTCGGAGCGGTACATGGCGTTGTTCTGGGGCGCCAGCCTGTCGCACGACTTCCTCAACTACCCGCGCCTGGGCGACGCGCTGTACGCGAGCGTGCTGCGCGAGCTGCGCGCGTCGGGGGCGCTGCAGCGCACGGTGCTGGTGCTGCTGAGCGACCACGGCATCCGCTGGGGCGGCATCCGCAACACGTACCAGGGCCGCATGGAGGAGCGCCTGCCCTTCCTCTTCTTCGTGTTCCCCGACTGGTTCCGCGAGCGGTACGCCGCCGCCGTGGCCAACGTGGGCCGCAACGCGCGCCGCCTCACCACGCCCTTCGACCTGTACGAGACGCTGCGCGACCTGCTGCGCCCGGCGCAGCGCCTCACGCAGGACGCCGTGCGTGCGCGCTCGCAGGTACGCGCGCCTCGCGCCTAACGCTTAGCGCCTAACGACTAGCGCTTGGCGCCTAACGACAAGCGCCTAACGCTTAGCGCCTAACGCCTAGAGCCTAGCACGTAACGCCTAACGCATAGCGCCTAGAGCCTAACGCTTAGCGCCTAGCGCCTTTCGAAAAATTCTTAAACAAACGAAAGGTGAAAAATAAATATATATTTTTTAATTCAAATGCTTAAACGAAAACAGCTTTCTGACATTGAATTCAATGTTTCACATTCTACATAAATGTACCAACGATGCATGATGAGTATTTTAAATGTAAATAAAATTATTGCTTTATACTAATGCGAATGAAAGACAGCCATCATTATCGCCTTCTGGTATCTGTAGGGCGTTACAACAATCAGCAATGACCGCTATTTAGTATGGAGTACACATTTTGTCATTTAGCATTGTTGATAACGCTAGCAAGAACAAGAAAAAAGTTTCAAAAAAATATAACATTTTTATATTCATCAAAATTACTCCGTTAATCTTATAAATCTCATTTCCAGTGAACTCCGTGTATTTTCGAAAATTACAAAAAGTAAACATTTCAAAACTGCAAAATTGAGGTTTTTCCTAAAACGGATAGAATAAAGAACACTTAAGAAAGAATGGCGCAGATCTCATTTTCGTTAAACTTTCTAAAGTTTCGAAAATCGCTAATTTAGAAATAATGCTAGAAAGTGTATGCTATTGTAGTTTTATCGTCAACCATTAGTTTTGAAATGACCCACACTTCAATTTTTCTAATAGTATCCGTTGAATATAAAACAATATAAAATATAACATAATAAGAAAGAGATGCTGTTTTGTAATTATTACATACCAACTTATCAAGTAATTATACTATCTGGGCATGTACGATTTCGAATAAATAATTTGCGGAATATTCTATAAAATATAATTAGAAGCAATGTCGTATTCTGCAATAACTCGACATACAAGCGATCAAGACAGAGTCTATTCACGTAAGTAATCCACAAAGTGAGTGTTGTGAAGGAAAGAAATGTTGACGGGTGAGGTTCCGTCGTCCTGTCCGGTATTTTAAAACGAGTGCACAACGACTATGTACCGTTTGGGTACGCAAAGTATAATACTTCGCAAGTACAAGTTTCCATGCATGAGAAGTGAAAAACATATGAACATTATTCCTTTGTAAAAAGTGTTGATGTTAACATCCTTGTGACTGTGCAATCGATAGGTTTCCTTAAAGCTTACCTTTGCTGTGACAACATTTTAGTGCATCGGCCTACGTAAGAAATATTTGCTCGCAGGCGCTGTCAGCAACGCCGTCCCCCGCCGCGGACCGGCCGCCGCGCGCCGTCAGCCTCTTCCTGGAGGTGCCCCGCGACCGCACCTGCGCGGAGGCGGCCATCGACCCGCACTGGTGCACGTGCCAGCAGAGCCAGCCCGTCAACCGCACCAGCCCCATCGTCAAGAGGTGGGCGCCCTCCCCCGCCCCGATTAGCGATGCAGACGGGCTGCGAACGCTGCTCTAGGCTTGCAAACGACCAGCATTTTATTACTTTCGCGCCTCTTTTTACTACTATTACTATTTTTAGAAGTAGAGACGTCTTCCATGCGTGCGAAGATATCGGTAAGTCATGAACTTGACCTGTACAGGAAGAATAATTATTTTATAAAAAAAATAGAAATATTAATAAGATAAGCTCATTTAGTATTGTAAAATGAAATTTTTAAATGTTGATTTACCTTCTTGGAACAATGCTGATAATTTTTAGTCAGTTACCATCAATTAAAAAATTTACTTAACTAATAGAACTTCCAGAAATCGCGGGTCTGAACATTCAGCACGTCCGCATACAGCAAGGTAAGGTCTAGCATGTTGTAGGTCGATGCAAATAAGAGGGTAATAAAATCAACCTAATAAATATTTCAGATAAAGTAAATCGATGCGCAGGACAGGACAAATCAATTACTTAAATGTTTGTAGAAAATGGTTCTAGTCGATGTAAATATTTATAAATAATTATCAAGTGAATTTCAATGGTGTGCCCAAGTGGGAAATGGTAATTAAATATTATTAGAGTGTCTTTACCGAAATATTACAATACTTCCCTCCCCTAATGCGTTGAATATCTAATACAATTGAGTACTACAACAAGACATACTTTTACCCCAACCCCAATACCTCTTGTTACACTCGGTTTCTTGTTACACTAAAATTAAGCGGAGCGGAAAATGCGGAATTTTGGACTCAATTTTACAGAAAACTGTTGAGTTTTGTTGAAACCTGATATGACATTATTTATAGTACCTGTAATGTGAAACAATTGACGCTAATGTAAATATTAACGACGTGAGAGAAGTAAAAAATATTTTTTTGTATTTTTTGAAAAACAAAAGAATAGAGCAATATGGTGTTTATGTCATCTTATAGAGTGCATTTAGCATTATCCCTACCATAAGGTTAAAGAAAAAAATTAAAGCCGTTTATGAGAAAAACTTGTTTTCGATATTTTTTAAAATTGCAAATATTGCACGCACTATTGCGCGAAAACTGAATGAATGAAGCAAAAAATTGGAGCCGTTTTTTGAGAAAAACGGCGTTTGAGAGTTTCTGAAAATTCCAGGTAGTTTTCACAGAAAACGGTTGAGTTTTTGAGAAACTTAATGCGACATTATTTGAAGAACATGTACACGTAAATATAATGTGAACAAATCACCGCTAACTTAAATATTAACGACGTGAAAGAGAAATAAAAAATACAATTTTGTAATTAAAAAAAGAATATAGCAAACTGATGCTTAGGTTATATCATAGAGGACATTAGGGACTATCCACTCAATGCCTTACCAAACGTTTAAAGAAAAAAATTGTACCCGTTTTTAAGAAAATCTTGTTTTTAAAATTGCACAAATGCCACGCAATATTGCGCGAAAACTACTAATATTTTTTTTAAATGTACCCGACTGTAATGAAAGAACTCACAATGGAGAATAAATTTTATTTGAAAGAAAAATCTCGCTCTTCAATTTTATAGTAGTAGGGAGGCGTCCAAAAATTTCAAATTTTTCGAAATTCAGATTTCACATTTCGGCACGAATTTCAAATTTTTAAACTGATAAATATTGTTTTAATTTGTTTCACCATAATCCAGATTATTAATCAGCAAAAGGCACTCTTTCCCCTCTATGGTAGATCCTCTCCCTACAAAAAGACAACCATCTGTCACAATTTCAATCTAACACGTTAATCATTCATAATAAGTTTTTTCACTCACCCCGTCCCACTCGCAAGTACATAATAATCATACTTAATATACTTCAAACAAACCAATATTATTTCGTGTAGAATATGTGTTACCGCAATATCTAACATCAATCAGAAAAATGTCTTTTTCCAAACATTTCATGTATGAATAACTATACTCCTCTCTTGTACACGTAAAAACATTCACGTCTAGTCGTAATTAAAATCCATATCCAAGTTACTTTTACAAATAAAATGAGGAAAAACAGTCAGAATCATTCTTCAATATAAACATTTCGCATTAAACAATTGGCGGTAAAAACGAAATAGTCTTCACCTATTTACTGATATACTCAATTCTGTGAATTGATGAACTCAGTCGTCATCCCCTGGTGCCAAATATTGCGCATTGATGCACTTTTGAATATATGATGTAATGCTACAAGAAAACGTCCTGAAAAGTAATTATTTTGTGTATATATGAAGGTTTATGTTTGTAAATCATAGCCTACAGCACTCCTGCCCTTCAAAGGAAGATATTCCATAGGTTTCATTGCTATCTGTCCAGTACATTCAGATTACCGCGCTGTAACGCAGCGCCCTTGTGTCTTTATATATTAGTATAGATATAGGTATAGATTATTAATTCAAGATTCGCTCTCGCAGCAACAACTGGAAGTACTGTTAATAGTTGCTTGATGCCGATGAAGATATTCTTATGCGTGTTGTGAAAACATTTACAATTCAACATTCACGTTTTGCCGAGGTCTAAAAGTACTGTGTACCTAATTGTGGAGTGTAGGTGTACAGTAAAGAATGAAGACGTGTCTTGTTAGGTTTGGTTTGTGTTTCACCTGTACCAGTATTTTCGTTATCAGCAGTGATTCGCAGAAACTTTTAAGTCAGCCAAAATTATTCAGAAAAGTAGTTTGAGTATACACGTGTGTTCAATCCATTTGACGATTTCCGGTGCTAACTCAGCTTGTACATCTTTCATTTGAAATACTTCCACGGAATTCCAAGCCATGGAAAACGCAACTTCCCTACAACTTTAATAATTGTGTTTTTAATAAATGTTCTTGTAGGTAGTTTTGTTATAATTGTTTTTTGAAAGTTCTATTACCATAAAATCTAAATATAGTTGAAATAATTTTGTGCATTTAACTATTATTCGTATAATAATAAGGTATAAGGTAATAATGATTGATAATAAGGTATTCCAGGAGGCAGTGAAAACTCTGAGCTCAATGAATGTTTCACATGTTTCATAAGAAATTTTGAGTAAATTTCTCTTTTTCGAAATTCCTGTGATTTTTAATTATCCATTCGATTCCTGTATTGTGTAAGTTTGTGAAATAGTCACCCTAAGTACCACTCCACTGTGATAGCTGGTAAGTTCAGTCCTCGCTACGCGAGTCGTGAATTCACCGGAATCACAGCTCTGCTCGTGGTATTACTCAAGATAATTTCTCCTCACACAGTGCAAATCTATTATCAATCAATTCATGTTTACTGTTCATGCTATTAATTATTTTCGCCTTTCGAATTTCTAAATTGTTTTTCCAGCTGTTCAAATCTATTATTAAAATTATTATTCATCTCTACGATAAAACTATTTATTTTTTTACTTGTCCAACAGAAATTTTAATATTCAATTATGTGGGCCTGCTGTCTGCACAGACCCGCGATTTCTGGAAGTTCTGTTAATGTTTTCTAATTGTGGCAACTGACTACAAATAAACAGCCTTGTTCCAAGAAAATTAAATCCAACATTTATTTAACAATTTTATATTATAATGCTAGATGTGCTCATGTTAATGTTATTTCTATTTTTTTGATAAAAGAATTATACATCCTGTACGGGTCCATTCAAAGTCCTTGGCTTACTGGTATCTTCGCGCGCATTGAAGTCTTCTCGGTTGAATTCCGGTTGAAAAGTCCACCGCGCGTCCAATTGCTTGAAATCACCTCGATGATGCGAATTCTGTCGTCTCACCGAACGTAATATTTCTCAATGTCAAGTTTTAACTAAAATGTCACCTGTGATTCTATTAGTTCGTTCGTGGTTCACCGCATAATTTGCTCAAATTTGTTATGCGTCTGCAAAACTTCCCAATTCTATATCACATGTGGGTGTCTATCCGCAACTACCTGATGTTCAACAAGATTTGTTCACCTCAAGAAACGTCCAAGGTCCAAACGTCCCTATTCTAATTTCCTTCCCAAATATAAATACAATCTGAATTCCAATAAATAGTTAAAATACTTTTGACATTCTCTAAGTTCCTGCTATTAGCAGCTTCCCTCTGGAAATTATCAAACACAATTCCGTTCTAGGCACAACCCTCCTATATCCATCGCTATGTATGAAATAACAATAATAATAATAATAATAATAATAATAATAATAATAATAATAATAATTAATAATGCCGCACGTCCCATCCAAAGTCTGTCGTAATTTTTACCTGATTACACTTCCCCCCACTTTTTTTATTTTTTTAAATTTCACGGGGGGTTTGCTTCTTCCTGTTCCGCCATGTCACTATATTTGTTCGTCCTTTCGGACGTGTTTACTTACTGGTCGCCCTGACAACATACATTCCTTGACTTAGCCCCATTCGGTATGTCTAAATTATTCGAAATGCCCAATGAGCTACATTATACTAGAGTGGCTGATCCTACAGTTTCAGCGCTCTTGGTAGAGACACGCGGAACTAGTGGCCGCCATGTTTTTTAAGTCAAAACACGAATGGCGGTGTAACCATCTGTAATCAGCTCCAAACGTAATGCTATACTGCGACTTTCGCAACTCAGCCCCTGGCAGGTATCATCCGTTGGCAGTTTCGTGACGTACAGTATTGTGACGTTCAAACTCCCGATTGGATGAAACTGTGAACAGCTGAAACCTGCCACGGGCACAGTTGCGTAAATCGCAATATAGAATACTTACGATTCCCACAGACCGCCCTCCCCCCCCCCAAAAAAAAACCAACATGGCTTTAATTTGCTTCAAAGATGGAGGCGCTACAGCCCCTCTTATGTAGTATATTCTAGCTCGTTGATATTGACATATTTGCTGAATATTACGATGTTAATAAAGGTGGAGGTCTTTCTGTCTTATCACAATATTAATCGATCAGGGGTGCATCAGTCGAGTGTTTTTACATTATGGTTGATGGCGAAAAAAACGAACGTTTTACGGATATCCTTGTTTCCGTTAAGGACATACGAATTTATGGCAAAATGCCTAAAAGAATATTGAGTTTGATGTTCGTGAGATTGTTACTGATTTTTGTTCAAATTTTAATGATGTTAAACAATAGAGTTACTTGTATTTCTTAACCTGCCCCACCAAGATTAAGTTATGAATCACCTCAGTTTAGTGTATTTTCAGTGAATGTAAAATGTGTCTATAATTTACATTTTTGCTTGCAGGACTGCGAATTTCTTGATGGATCACATCAACAAAATCGTCTCGTCATTTCGTCAATGTGCTCAACTTCTCCTGGCTGAGATAAAAGATGTGCAATTGGAAGTGCCACAGGAAAGGATTCGTAAAGAAGTAAAGGACACCAGTGTTTATGATTACGTTCTAGTAGTGAGAACTGAACCAGGGAATGCAATATTTGAAGCTACTGTACGTCACATACCAAAGACAAACAATTTAACTATTGCAGGATTTGTGAGCCGTCTAAACGTGTATGGCTCCCAAAGTGCGTGTGTTAGCAACTTTCATCTTAAACTTTACTGTTACTGTACTTCTTGACGACAATTCGTTTTTATGTTTTCCTGGTGTTATTTGCGAGCATGCACACATCTTTGTACAGCTTTTTGTGATCCTTTATTTCTATTTATCTTGTTGAAATGAAAAGATATTGTACAAATGACGATATTGTTATAAGAATAATCTATGGATTATTCATGTTGTTGATTTATTGTTTTATAGATATTTCGTTAGCAAGCAATAATTTGTTACCAAATGTTTGAAGGAGATCATATGTTTTTAGTAACGATACACTTAAGATCTTCAAGAAAATAAATAATGAATAAAAAACGTTGATGAAGCACGTGTGACGCAAAATTCCATTTTATCTAATTACACCGTTAGTGTGAGAAAACCGAGTGCGGTCCAAGTTCGCACTGCTTTGCTGCAACTGGTTCGGGTTACGGAGACAGTCAAGCACCTACTTTCGTTGGCATCTTTTTATTCCAAAACGATGGGCACAGAAAAATCTGGTTACAACTTACAATTGTGCGCCAACTCTTGTCGGGCACCTCCGCTTCTATTCCCGCTACCAGGCAGGAGACTAAGGCCACGTGCCGCCGGCAGGCACCAGACTCTCGCCCGGGGAAGAATCCACGCCTTCGCGATTGTTCTCACTTTTAAGAGAACTTCCCTTGTGCCCGTGCCAAGTGTCCACGTGTGTGAGTGGATTGACAACTTGTCCGCAATTACCCGAGTGCTGTTGCTTAATGCAAAACAATATTTATTACAACTTTAGAATTTATACGTGCTTTCCAGCTGCTCAGCACGCGGTACTTCGGCTGATGTGGTCACAGAACTGTGATGCGCAGCTGTGGGATATATAACTCGTACGCCGTGCCGCCGCTATCAACCTATCTGTCGTCAGAGCCTTATTTGTCTCTGGGGCATGCAGAGTGTTAAAAATGGTTGTTTACATGGCTGGTTCGGAAAGACGAAAAGGTCGAACACATGCATTAATCATCCAAATACAATTAATCAATGAGGTATAAAAGTTGCAAAACACTTAATTCAATGTAATAAACTATCCTTTACACCATCCTTAAACACAATATAAGTGCTAGACTTTCTTGCAAGTAACGGGATATCAAATTAATGAAAAGGGGAGGTGGTAAACACAAAAACTTTAAGACACTGAGAGCCACACACGCACAGCAATCTAATGAGCTTGGAACTTTTGTATGTATATACTGATTAATGTTGAAAATGTTTGGCGCACTCGCTTTCAAACCATCGTGTCGCAAGAAAGGGGAGCTGTCTTCGCACGGAAAATTGACATCGATATCTCAGGGTTCCGCCAGTCGTCTGCGAGAGTCAAGGTCACAGACGACAGTTATTTTTCCTACCTAAGCAAGAGTAGATTTCGATAGGGGGACTCAAAATTTCTTTAGATCTTTACAACTTTTTTTATTACTACAAGCCTGGGGAAAGTTACCATGGTACCACTTGCACGAAAATAACTTCAAAAGATTTTAAATAGATGACTTAATTTAAGAAATCAGAGTTTTTTTCTAAATAAAAAAACATATATTGAATGATAAATTGTAAAAAGCTTTAAATGAAAATAGCTGAAATATCAGTTGCAAAACAACTTCAACTCCTGGTGAAACATCGTTTGTCTTTCAACAACTAATGGGGCTTGAATTGATGCCTTATTTTACGTGGCGAGACTCGTACCATGATGCCTGCTCTTCCGTCTGACTATACAAATTTCGCTAAGTTCCTTCCACCAACTAGCGGAGAAAGGAGGTATTTCTGGGGCGAGGGAACAGGCGATTTGAATTTAGATCAGAGTCTTCATCTTTGTGCAGTAAAACTTCTAACATGAACAGCCGGCTTTACTTACCCTCCGAATGAAGGCGTACGAAGGATTTTTCACCCTTAAAAATCCACGACTTCGATCGGGTTTGACTCCCTAACTTGGATACGATACAGTAACCTTTACACTATCGCCGCTGTAAAATTGAGTTTGAATTGTGAAATGAATTGTTTGCACAAATGACATCGATATCAAGATCAACGGTACTTATTTTCAGTCTAGAGTCAAAATGTCCAGTTTATTCACATTTTTTTATGCAAAATAAAGGGATAAATATGAGATGACATGGATGGTATCAGATACTGCAACGGACAATGCATGATATTCTTTTTGAACATTGAGCTAAAACCACGCCACATCTTTGCAATTGAAGGATATATTAAGACAGGATTACTGACTGATTGAATTCGGAAGAAGTACTGTTAATTGTAGAATTTCTAATTCGTTTTTAGATATGTTTATTTGTATTTCACTCTTTGTAATAAGTGAAATTCCAAAATAAGTACTCTATTTTTCCTTTCCCCATCGCCAGTTTAGAAGATCACCGAAAGACATGGCATGTTCGTTCTGAGCGCAAAAATATTGTTTTATGACCTTCTAACTCAACCATGATAATACAGAAACATGGCCTTATACAGAAAGTTGGCCTCATCACATCAAAATTTAGACTTCCCGTGTCATTTCATCCGCTGGATATTTGTGATTTTCTTCAATAATAAACGAGTTTCTCGCATGGTGAAAATTTAAAAATGTCAGAATGTAAAAGTAAACACTTGGCAATTATTTATAATTAATTTCTTCGTAATTAATCCACGAAACTCAATTACAAAATAACCATGACATTTGTAGGACTTCTGTGAATAACTGGTAAAAATCTTATTTGTCTACGATCAACACAATTGAAGCTATCGTTGAGTAAATATGGTAAAAATTTGCGTTAGAATTAGAATGGACGAATCGAATAACGCCGAGTTTCTTCATGAATTGGCAACACAGCTTGCGTTAGAAAGAGAAAGTCTTATGTAAAATTTCATTAAACAATGAGAAAGCAATATTCCAAATGTTTGGATGCATAATAGTGTTGTCTATACTGGAAATAAAAATAATCGGAGCGATCGAGAAACAGGAATCTCAACATTACACAACACAACTCTATGTACTTATGAGCTCTGTACAAAAAGATAAAGATCATAGTAATAAATATAAAGAGCGATTTCTTTGGGCCTTATCTGCAGTTGTAGAACTCACTGTCGAGAAAATGTGTTTGAACCACCAACTCCACTTACGAACTGTGGACAAATAGGCAAGATAGCTATATTTCAGTGTTGCTTTGTCTTAAGTTCGCAAACTTCGTACGAAAAAGAAATTGACGATTTGTTGGAAATAAGAATACATGGGAATCAATTATTTATAAATTTCATATGTACATAAAAAGCCGAGGCACCATAAAGTGCGAAATATTAATGCGGTCTATTGTGGCTATTGCGTCTACTGGCATCTCACCATCACACGCGTGACTTCAATAACTTTGATTATCAAAAGACTGTGGTACAAAATTCTAGAAGAAAAAGCCCGAAAAGTCCTGTAGCATCAAAACGTAAATACATAGAACAGCAGCCCTTCTTCCATGGTAAAATATTTTAAAAAATATCCACTAGCCTGAGCGTGCACCAACGTGCACGGTGTTGCTGGGCAGTTCAAAAGTTGGTAGCGCCGCTAATGTGGTTGGTACAAATGATACAAATAATTTTCTTGCAGGACGGTTGGTACCTATATACTCTATACTCTGTGGTTGGTAACGGAATGATTTGGCTGGTCCCCAAAATTGTGGTGATTGTTTGCCTGTGCCCCCTAACCTCTCATTGCTTAAATCGCAAAAATGCCTTTCATGAAAGGCCCTGCACCAATTCGGAGAACTTTGAAGTATCTTGAAGCAGGGAAAGTAATTCTAAGAGACAGAGTTAAGATATTTTCAGTTAATTACAACACAAAAGGAGACCACCATCATGGAGCAAGGTTGTGCCGGTTATGTGCGATGTGAAGTGTAACAGAAAATGTGAAATAAATTAACCATTCTGTAAAAGTAACAACCAATTATCTTTTCAGAAATTTTGTGTTTTGGCATCTTCCACAGCTGCAGTATAAAAACCCAGATGTTCAAATTATAACCTTTAAAAATATGACTCCAACACCATTTATTAGATGCTTCTTTGGTAAGCTGTTATTTAGTCATTGATTTTTTTCTGCTGTTGAATAGAATGTTTTTTCTGCTAGTTGAATAGAACGTGTTATAACCATGGTCCTAACAGTACTATGTGTAGTTTTTTTCTGTTGCTTTTCACAAATTACACTGTACTATTTTGCAGTTAATTTTATACATTGCTCTTGCAATCAAGTTGTTAAACAACTACCATCTTTTCTTTCGGTGTCATCTGTTGTAAATTATCACTAAACTATAAATTTTCCATTACTAGAAATTGTATCGCTAATATTTGTTTCACTTCATGTTTCATTCTTTGCTGGTGTGAACAGGTCTTTTCCTAATATGTTTCATTAGTTTTTCCCTCAGCAAAGGAATAAAAGTGTCACCTTGTATGATATGTTGAAAGAGGTATTGCATGATTTCGTAAGCTCTCATTTCAATAGATGCAAGAAGAGTGGAGGATTTTTTTATTTCAATGTCAACTAATATCAAGTTCCCAGCATATTTGTTATGCAAATATAGTTTCTATTGAATGAGAGTGAACATTTCAGGTTATTGCATTTTGTTCCCAACATTCGTTGCTGTCATTTTTTCTTAATTCAACTAATGTTATTAAAGGAGTGGAGATAGAAAATGTGCACGTATTATATTGATATTCCTATGTGTTGTCTGAAAACTTCTGTTCCAAATTGTTTCATCTGGACAAAAGGATTTGGTAATCAAAGCTTTTTTCTCATTCATTAATTTAGAGAAAAAGCAGTGCATCTATATTTGCATTATTGATTTAAATTTTCTGATAAATGAGTTAAACACATTCACTGTAATTTTCAACTGGGGAAATATAAAAACAAAGATTTATTTTTGTAAAGAGTATTGAATTTTCTGGTGCAAATATTCCTAATTTGTTAATATCGGTGTTGCATTTCACCAAAAGAACTTACCAGTGGAAGTGATTTCTGTAATAAACACTTCAGTTTCATTCCTGCTACAATAATAATTGTTTTTGTCTTTCAAAAAATTACAAATCGATCATCATTACATCAAAATCTAATGGGCTTAGCTATTTAAATTTTCATAATAATCCAATAGCGATTATTCAAAATTGTTTTTACCTCCATTTGTTATAATAGCATCACTATTAAGGAATAACTAGTAAAAATTTGTCCAATGCATGGTTAATTATGAGTAACAATTTTTAATAAAATAAAGACCTAATATATTTTAATAGAAAGTTTTTCTAACTAACCAATTCCTAAATAGGTTTTTTTCTCTTGCATTATAAGCCTCTCAGTAACATGCTTGGCTCGTTTTTTAGACACTTTTTGAACTACTCTCACTTCCCCCACTGTTTCTGTCAAAACTGGCTATTCTTACCTTTTTTTAACAATAATTGTAATATTAATTTAATTTTTATATATAATCATGGAAAGTGTAATAACTTTCCTAAATGTAAGGTGCAAACACTGTAGTAAACCCAGCTGGAAACTAGTAGTTGGGACACTTTTAATGTTATTTGGAAATAAAGACAGGACAAATGAACAGGCTTGCAAGGGTAAAGAGGGGAACGCGAATACAGAATTTGGATGGACAGTGCTTTCCAGAGAAGAAGTGAACTTACTCTGGCAGAAAAAAATCCCAGAGTAGTTTTCTTTGAGTTTGACTATTTATTACAAGTTCATTGCTTCTTTGTATGAATCTTCACATTTCCATAAACAGTTTCCAAGTAAATGATGTTAGATTTGGGTAATTGGCATTTGAGATTTGGAGATTGAATTTGAAGTAGTAACTGCTTGACGATTTTTGGATTTGAAATAAAAGAGAAGGATGTTTGTTGACTTTCATGGTGTCAACAAGAAATTTTAATTGGGGAAATTTCCCTCCAAATGGATCCGTGTCTGCCTAATACAAATAAGGTTCATATAGATAAATTAATACCTAATATAAACAGCTAATACACATAAGGTTCCTATAAATCTTAGGTGTCTAAGAGTTTGAGTGTAGTCTGATGATGAGGAAATAACATATTCCTAAAATGTTGTGGAAGCAATTGTCGTATAATTAATGACAGACTTAAATAAATCAGGAACATAACAAATGTAAGTTGTCTTAAAACCTTAACTAACAAAATTAGTTATATAAAAATTAAGTAAATTAATATCTAAAAGAAAATGGCATAAAAATGTTACTTTTAAAGACTGAGAATAATAATAACAATATTAATAATATTTTGATTGAGGGTCATTAATAAGAAAATGAACTTCAATTGTTTGAGACTAATTTTTTTACGCAATAAGTTTATTAGTTTTAGTTATATCTTAAGAATATTGTGTAATTGTTGTTTAGTTTGGTAGAATTTTTATTTCTTAAATCTGTCGGACAAACCTGTTGTATTTATTAGTTTTGTTGGTTTATGTTCTTTAAATATTTCCTTGCAGGTGCTACATCTCTGTGCCAATCTATATGTATAAAACAAAGTCGGGTTAGTTAAAGCATTTAGATCTAGACCAATTTTAATTATCTCTGATTTGTTGGAATCGTCTCCACCTCGATTAGTAGAATAACTTAAAATATCAGAAAAATTCACTAGATGTAGAACAAAACGAAATATTCATGTCAAATGCAACTCGCAACACAACCTGGTAGGATTTTTTTAATCTGTATCGATAAAAAACTCCTAAACAAAGCATCCTAGGGCATTAAAAACTAAAATTTTGATGTTGTTTTGAACATTCTATTGCATTTTTGCCGGAGGGGGGAGATAGTGGGAAACGAAGAGAGAGAAAGGGAGATGAAGGGCAGAACAACGTCTGCTAGTTTCCGATAGTAAATTTATGTATTCCAAGGTAGCAGCAAAGACCTTGTGGTAATCCGCAATTCACAAGGATAAAATCATGGTTGATATATCTTCTAGTTTTGTTTATCTAAATTTATTATTGTAGCCATGATAAAGGCTAAATATAAAAGCCAAAACTTTGGCAATGTAAAGTCCGTTTTCTTATTTATGATATCCACTCAAAAACCAGAAAAAACATAATTCTAACACAGTCAAGAATCATATATTATATACCCAGACAACACTCATAAAATACACAGAGATTGCTCACGCTAGTCTTTGAGTAATTGCTGAACACTATAAAAAAGTTTCTGCTGGAGGAAGTGTCCGAATTTGTTTTTGAAACTGTGTAATCTTATAACGATGATACTACGCCTCTTGCAGAAGACAGGAGAGAAACTATTAGGGAGAGTAACAAAAAGAGTCGAAAGCAGGACTCAAGCTGAAGTTAAAAAATACCATAGTAATGACAACAGGACAGGAAGAGAAAATATAGATGAATCCTGAAGAAATAAAAGCTTCAAACTAGGTAAAATTTCTGAGAGTTATTATAACAAAAGATGGACGATGTACTGAAATTAAAAAAAGAATTATTTTGTGAAAGGCAGCCATGAGAAAATGTCACAAATTCATTAAAGACAGGCTTATCAATTAAGACTAAAATTAAATTAATTAAAACAATAATTTTTACAATAGTTGTATATGGCACTGAAAGCCAGACTTACAGATCTATAGACAAAAGAAAGAAAGATGCATTTGAAATGTGGTTCTGGCGGAAAATATTGAAAACTCATTGGACTCACAAACCTGTCTATATTGGAGCCGGGTTGCTCTTTAGAAGCTACAGCTGTCAGATAGAAATTATCGTTCTTTGAACACATTGCAAGAAGAATGGAATCAGTGGAAAAGGACATGATGTTAGAAACAATGAACTAGAAGACTGGGGAGAAGAAGATTAAGATGGGATGAGAAAATCAAAAAAGCAACCAACTTGACTTGGATAGAAGCAATAAGAATGACGCTAGACAGAACAGTTTGGTGGAAACTTAGAAAGGAAGAGAAGCCTTGCGGAAAAGGCTGGCAACCAATTGCTATGCTGCATGCGATGTATATATTACACACACATGCACAATCCTGTAATATCTCTCATATGTTTTTGTAATTGGTTGAAGAATTGTATTCCTGTAGTGTTCTGTTTTGATATAATTTTTTTGTGTACTGTTGTAGGTGAAAGTCATAAGCTTGTCTTGAGTTTATTAGAGAAGGCTTGAATAATATTGTACAGTATGTTCTTCTTTACAAACATGAGGATGTTGTAAATGAATATAATAAAAAGGCAGCAAAAGTTAAGACCCCAATTCAATCAAACTTGTTAAATCTACAAGTATTTGTTCTTTTGGTTTACCAGAGGATTCTCTTTTGTTCTTTAAAGGTTTGCTTTGCGTCTCATGCTTGGTCCCAGATTATTATTACAAATTCGAGGATTGAGTGAATATTTGCAAAGTGCAATGTTTGGACTGTTTCGTTGGTGCTGTTCCTTGTTGTTATTCTAAGAACATAATTGAGTATCCTCAGAATCATTATTCTTGGTGAAGTGTTCTGATTTAATCATTGCTTATTTTGAAAAAGCTACAAGAGCTGGGGTGGACTATTGTATCATCTTGATGTAATTAATGTAAAATTATTGTATTCTCTTTAAGTTATGTAAAATTGGTTGTAATAGTGAGTTTCATTGCAGATTCTGGTGATGAAATGATCATTGATATTGACAGTCGAACAAAGGATGAAATAATTGATCATCTTGTAAAAGTTGTATGTAAGTCAGAGTGAGTATGCTTTTTATTTTATTTTTATAAATATTAAGTTTAAAGAATCAAAAATATTGTGTAATATTGATGTATTTGTTAGGGAATTACTGGCAGCTGAAGCTCTTGCTAAAGAGAAGAAGGACAATCCTGCAAATTTTGGGTTTGGATGTGACAAGCATTGCATTTGTGACATTCCAGGCCAAATACCTTGCCCTGCAGTTGTGCCAGTACCAAGCCATATGCGAGGGAAAAACATATTTGCAAAGGATTAGTCTATGAATTTATTGTAGTTATTATTATTAAAAAATTATTTAACTTTAAAACTTGTATATTATTGTATCTATTCTTTTTACACTGCTATTTTGCTACATTCATTTTTTTTAAATATCAATGAATTTTCATTACCTGTGTATAGAAATGTGCAAACCCTGCATGTGATGAACATGTATAATACAAATTTACAGTAATATTGAATAAAATTTTCTCCAAAAGGGCTATAAATTTTATTTGTAATTGTTTTTTTAAACACACTGAAAATATTATTTTATTTTATCTTATTTAAGCTCAAAAAACAGTTAAATAACTGTGGCATTCTATGGTGAGAAGTGCAATTTTCCATTCATATTCTTACTATGTTAAAGGGAATATATATATATATATATATATATATATATAATTAATATATATATTATAATATATATAATAATAATATATATATATATATATATATATATATATATATAGATGTAAAGATATATAGATACAGATTTATAGGCACAAACACATATTTTATTTACAAGTTATCATGGTAAGTTATCAAGTATACATGGTAATCAAAGTGGACAGTAAGGCAAACATTTTTCTGACTCCTACATACAATCAGTTGCTTAGAAGCTCACACTCGCTTATCTTTCTAGAGAAGAAAAGAGAATGGAAAGTGAGTCATGAAGGAACACAATCAGCATTGATATACATAAAGTAAATATAATATTTTAAACTCAAGCAAGATTTTTATGCAAGCTTCAAAAACAAATTTTTGAATTCTTGGTGCCCCAGACTTATCAAATACAACATTCCAGTATCATAATCTAATATCTTTTCAGGATTTAAAAATTTCAATATAAGAAGCATTAGATCTGTGATTGTCGCTGGACAGGTCGTGTCCAAGTACTCCCAAAATTTACAAGTACATTCATTAGTTGTTTTTTGAATTTCATTATTTACTATTAATGTAGATAACATACTATATATATTGCATCTATCAAAAGCATCTTGTAGCTTATGGTTGTGGCTTACTGAAAGGTGAAGTGAGTAGTCTTTGGTCCCATGTGCTTTACAAAAATGTTAGTGATACAGATTAAAATGATTGAATTATGACAGAGTGAGTGAAAATCTTATTTTTTATTGTTTAATAATTTGCTAAGTTTATTGCTGTATTATTGAGATAATGAATAGCTGTAACATAATTTGATCTTTTTGAATTCTTCTTAACTTTAACATCAAATATTGTGTGACTAACTTGTGTGTGACTGTAACTTTAACACCAAAAATTCCACTGAGACACTAGCATTGCAATCCTTTCCTTTCAAGGCCCCTCCCCCACTTAATTGTTGGTGGCAGAGATTCTTAAGCTTAAATGCGTAGTTGATAAAAAAATAACATTAAAAAGGAGAAAAAATAAACATAACTTCTCAAAAAGAGGAATACAGAACTTGTACAATACCACATGGGCTACAATGGGCTAGAATTTAACGTCATTCACACAAGTTGAATTTCAAATTAATTTCCTTTTTAACTTTGTATTAAGTTGCAGAACTTGTAGAAAGAGCTTTGATCATTCTTTCATTTAGCAATTCAACAAAGATGAAAGCGTTTATTTTTATTGTTACAGCCTTTAATTCTTACTTTTTTACACAAATTTCTAAAGCTAAACTTAAATTTAAATTTCTAAAGTTAAAGACATAAATATGGGAGTAACATATTAAATAAATGAGTAGAGGTGAATCCACAAAACAGTGTTTACCCATTTGGCCAAAATCAATGAGTTCTTAACTTTTATGAACCTTACAGGATTTGAAGACAAAGCAGGTACTATTGTAATGACAGATGGGACCGACTATGCTCACTACTTACTCATCAAACCCCTAGAAAGCTAACATTTGGCTTAAAAATTGCTGTTGCTTGTTATGATAATTATGGATATTTATTTGTGTAGAGTCTATAAAGAAAGGTTGAAAATTAGATGCATTGGTCTACATATTAAACCGATGTTTTGTTTTGAAAATTTATTAAAGTTTTATTAAATTATTTATTTCCAGTTCAAAACAATGCAAAAATATTTTCTTAGAGTATCTTAAATGAACCAGGGTACCCAGACAGTGGTTGGTTTCAGGTTACAATATCCACTTGTGAACATCATAGTCCACTTGCAAAATGACCAATCTAGGATGTCCGCTGCAAAATGTCGTCAACAAAAATATGCCCCCAAAACTCCATTCAAGCCCCTATCCAAGAGAAAAATGTCTTTCTTGTTTGTAATGAATTTTGAAATTGTGAACAAGAATGTAGCATAACATCACTTTCATGATCAAAGCATTACAGATTATATTTACAGTTTTACACAATTGATATAGAGGAAAAAGATTTGTCTTGGTTTCATTGAAATTGTATCAATATGGATACATCTTCAATTGAAGAATTTATATCTGTCATTTATGAGTTAGAAGATTTATACCATTCAATCTATTATATATCATCAAAGGAGACATAATGGAACTGGGCTGATTATTTACAAAATATGTGAAAGGTGGATGTGCTGAAGGTTGCAGAAGGTATCTACCCAGAATATTGTCCTGCCACGATATCCAGCAGCAATTTGTAACATTCACCATCCGACACTTCAGGGACATCAGAAGATGAATAATATGGTGAGAGCTTTTCACAGGAAATTACAGAAGGTAGTTGCAGTTCTCCATGTTAGCATCTGGAGATTTGTGAAGGATGACAAGGTGTTAAAGAAATTGTAAAATCTGTCTAAACCAGAGCCTGTACAAGCCAAAAACCTGTCTTAACTGGAAAATTTCTCCAGCCCTTGAAGTTAAATGGCATTTTACACAGCATGAAAGGAATTTGTCCAATGCAGAAACATAACTGTTTTTCATGACTTGCAGGGGGGCGGGTATCTTCATAAAACGGAATTTGTACAAACTAAATGCAATTGGCCAAGAGACACGAGATACTCTTCATGGAATGAATGCTTCTGCAAGTTCCTAGGGGAATTTCCTCTTTTCTGGCTCTCCGAGTTAGGAAGGTGCACGGGCATGGGGTGTATTCACACATCTACTGGCCCCGCGTTAACAATCGTAACTCCTCGGCCAGAGTTGTATTGGTCAAGGTCATGTGAGGGTATCAGAAAGACTTAGTAGAGTCTGCGAGCAGTCCAGGTGTAGCTACTAGGTAGTGAAGTGGTGTGTTTTATGAGTTTCACAACCAGTTTAACAATGGTTGAAAAAAACATAAAACCCTAAATATTAAAATTTTTCTACTTTAGTGAACATAATTGAAAAGGCATTAGTAAGTGGAAAAACCAAAAAGCTAAAAACTAGATGTTAGAAAAAATAATATTATTTTAGGTCACAAGTTGTAAAATTTTATTTTTTAATTGTCAGAAATATGTTTAATATTCATTTAATCGTGATTTCTTCCATAAATATGTGTTAATATATTTTTGTAATTATAAAAGTCGTGTAATTTACTAGTTTCAGAATGGAAATATCAATAAAACAAGTGTCATAAAATGGACAACCCTGTGTAAAACAGAAAATTTTATTACAGACAGAAGAGAATGCAGCAGGAAGAACTAGAATAAAACTTTACGGTAAACACTTTTCTACTTTAGATATATTTAAAATAAAATTTATGGACACTTTACTCCAAACATTTTTACATGTGGACATTTTAATCACCAACAAGTGACTATCCTACCATGTTGATTAATTCTTGGAGGTAAATGTTTACTTACATTATCAAATGAATGTATATTGATGACAAACTTCTATCACCTAATTAAAGTGCCCATCAGTAGAATATATAATTATAATTATAGATGTACTTTTTTATTATAAAACATTTTAGAACAAAGACTTAAAAGTTGTTAAGTAACATGGATGTGTTGGTTATGGAGTTCTACATGACAGAAGAATTTGCCAAGGAGAACAGGAACAATTCTGTTAATTATTCAGCTACTTCACTTCTTTTAATTTCATGGTTCATGAGCTTTCCTAAGTTGCCACAATGTTTCATTGATTTCTTGAATTGTTGTCAAGCACTCTACAAAAATGTTTATTAATATTTTTCGTTAGTGCACATTCAAGCCACTTTTTGTACTTTAATTATTTCTTCATATTGAAGAAGTCTATCTTGGGAGATTCTAATAAATAATGTCAGGAATCTTAATAGAATGTATGTTCCAAGTTGAGTTCCTGAGCTGGAAAGGTTTGGTTGGCCACTGCCATCTTAAATTGCTTGAGGTTGTGTGGTACAGTACATATCTCATGATCTGTAGATTTTTTGTATAAAAGTTCAGGACACCACACTTCTGTTCTTGCAGATGTTTTCTATTTAACAAACATAAAATTACTGAAATGTAACTTGCTTGGTTTGGCTTGCTTGCTTGGTTTGAAAACAGACAAGAAAATTTGCACTTACAAATTATCTAGGAACTTGACGGCAAATGAAAATGCACTTCGTTCACTCGCTACTCAAATTCAGCTTTGATAAATGATCAAAACATTAATCAATTGCAGATATTATAAGTAGCAATACGTTTCATTATGTTAAGTATTGATATTTTATCTTCATTGAAATTCAGTTTATAAGGAAGTGAAATGAATAGAATGGAATGTGTTATGATTTTGCGAATTTGGAAAGTACATTTTATCATAGCTTTGAAAAAGTTAAGTACTACTACTGAAGCAGTCATCAAAAAATTTTTCCATAGTAAAATACAAATGGGAAGTGACTCCTTTTAAGTTCATTTCCTCATCAGGATACGACTGGAACAAACACATAAATAACAATTTTATTTACATAAAATTCTTACAAAACTGCCAGTGGCAAAGGTAATTATCAAGCTCTTGAATTTTATTTCTGTAAAACATTTGTCATTAATCCAGGAACTTACACTCTGTGAAAACAAAATGCCATTCTGTTCTAAAGCTTTAGCTAGCATCATGGAGTGCTGATAATGGACTGAACTGTCTGCGGTTCCATGAATGAGCATGAATTTCTTGTATCGAAGGTTTTCAACTTTGTTCGTTAAACTAGCATCAATATATCCTGCCAAATTATCCTGTATAGTTGGCAGGCGCATGTATCTTTCAGACCTTACAGCATCTGTAATTAAAAGGTAACAAAACATTTTGCAAAGAATACCGATCTGAAATGAAATTTTAAAGATATTTTGAAAGAATTCATTATAATCAAACATTTTTTAAAGGTTTTAGTTTGTAATACACAAGAATCCAGCTGCTCTTCAAACTCGTGTTGTTGGAACTGCGAACATTTCTCTTTGATTCAGATCCTAATTAATTTATACAGCATTTACTGATAAAAATTAAATATTCATATTGATGTAAAATTATTATAAGAACAGGTTTCATATTTTCCAATTAATCATGTATTCTGAAGCGATTCATTTATAATTCTGTAATGTAAAAATTTTTAATCGTCATGAAATCTTTTGATCTTCTGACAGTTTTTAGATTTGTCATTGAATTGTTCTGTCTTCTGCATGTGAATGTTTCATTTCTTCATGTAATAAAGTTGAAGAAAATAATGTATAAAATGTAAGGAAAGCTTAGGGATTGTATGAAAGAAAGTGATCTTAATTTCATTGGATTTACTTTTTAGCTGTTTCAGATGTGGCAGCAAAGTGATAGTAATTATTTTTTTTTAAAAATATATTAAAATGGATGTAGGTGGGCATGTTTCTTCCGCTAAAACATTCAGCTAGAACACTGGAATGATAGCTTAAAAATTTGTTTTTTTGAGGGACCAAGAAAAGGTTAAGTTCAATCTTGCTATCCATTGCTAGGTGAAGAGGAGAGATAGAAGGTTACTAAACAATGAATTTCTGAAGTATAATGAAAGTCATTCTATTTTACTTCACTTATATTATGGATTGATGCTAATTGATTTGCAGTCTTTTGGAACATCAAAGATGAAAAACGAACGGTAGTCTCTGGATGGAACAGAACCTCTGATTTCAAGGGACAGAAAAGTACTAAAGGAATGCTTAATGAATGGTGCTACAGAATGACTGTGTTTCTCATACTACTTAGTTAACTAATCTCTTTAGTCTTGGCTAGCTTTTGGGTTTTGCCCCTCTTCCCAGCTGCTACCTACCAGCACCTAAAAGAGATTTTTTAGTGTTTTCTCATTTCATTCCCCTAATAGTCAACTTTAAATCTGACATTAGGAATATTATAGAAAAGTAAGAATGTGGTCCTGAATGGCAAGATATTTTTCTTTTTAATATTTGATGCCGTTTTTGAGGAAAAGTAATTCAAGCTACATCATACAAGCACAAATTAGCATTTCTGAAAATTTGTGGTTTTCAGCTCATTTTCACAGAATTTGAATTTCTGAGAAACTTCATTAAAAATTATTTAAAGCACCTGTACTTACTAATGCAATGTTGTATAAAAAATGCCCATAATGTAAATATTAATGATGTGCAATTTTTTATTTTAATTACAATTAGTTAATTTCCAAGAATTAAATTGATATAATTTTTTTAAAATGAAAAGAATACATCAAAATTACTTTAATTTCCCATAATTCAGGGCACTTAGCACTTTATATACAAAAACTTTTTGACTGTATTTCACTCAGAATTGACCCAAAACTACTTATGTTTTCAAACAATATACATGACTTAAGTTAAAGTTGATTAATTGTGGAGAACAAATTGTATTTGAAGAAAAATTATTTTCAATAATGTAGTCCAAACAATTTCAACTATATGAAAATTCAAAGTTATCAGTGAAATTCAAATCTGTGCCATCCTTATAAATGTATTTCACACCTTTCCTACAAGAAACAAAGAAAATATTTGGATTTGTTGATAAAATTTTGTTTTTAAATTGTTTCATTTCATGTAAAATTACAACAACAAAAAATCTATTCATATTTTGAAGAAATAGAACATGACCTTACTTAAAGAGTCGAAGAATAGATTTCTTTAAGAAACTAGAAATATACAAATAAATGTAATTAATATTTGCTTGTACTGTATTTAATAATTTGGCTCACTGAAGCCATAGATGTAAATATACTATGAAACTAGTATGTATATCTATGACTGAAACACATACTGATGTCTCTAATAATAGCGAGATGATTTACCAAATTGTTCAATTGGCTACATCTGCCACATTTTGTATATCTTCTTCTATCACACTTTTAGATCCAAGAAATTGTTTCTAATAATAGACATAGCTTATAAAAACACGCTTTTATGTACCTATGGTGATACTTCTGTGAAAGACATCTATTAAAAGACCTCTGCTCTCAACAACTAATTTTCCCTGATCAGGAAAAAACATGATCCTCAAAACATCCCAAAAAGAAATTATTAAATGAAAAAATAAAAACTGCTTTTGTAAATCTTTTTGGATACCCTCCTACACCTTCATTATTGATATTTTTTTAAATGAATTAATGATATATTTTCTTCAAAAAATAATTAATTAAATAAAGTAATGTATTAGTTTTGTTTAATTTTTCAATTGAAATTGTGACAATTACAGAAGTTTTGTTAAATGTTTTCTTAAAAAACGCTCCAAATTTTCTCTCAAATGAAGCAGAGTTTGCTTAATGATATTGCATAGGCCCAATTTTCATAAAGCTGTAGGTATAACAAAAATTGCATAAGTCAATTTTTTTTCGCAATTGTTTTACAAATTTAATACTGAAGTTAAATATTTCTTTCTTAATGCAATTTATTTCTGAAAATTAGTTCTTTAAATTATTTGATGTACATTTTTCAAATTATTAGTTGTTTTCATTAGTGAGTTCTGTTTTTCAAGTGATGGCTGAAGTAGAAGTAAGACAGATATAATATGGGCAGCCTATGATGTAGTGGTCAGGCCTTGGTATGATGCCAGGTCTTTCCATTTTGTGGTAGACGAAGCGGGTTCGTGACAGGTTTTCTTGGGACTCTCCCATTTTTCCTGCTAATATGCATTCCACCGGTATGCTCCATCATTCATTCTCTTACTTATACTAACCATCATTCTGCTAAGGTTTCACAGATCTAGGGATAACCAGGGAACTAGCTGAGAATGACTGCAACAACCTCAGAAGGTTATCAATAACTAGGATCCTGGCCTGAACTAGAGAAAAAGACAAAAGAGTAAAGGAGGGGGGTACCGCCTCCTCCCAAGATCCTGGTCACGGTTGATAGTGGACTTATATTGCCAGGCAGGGTGAGGGCTTTTTTGAAGCAGACCCCTTAGGGAAGGGGAAAAAAAAAGTTTTGAGTTTAGTTTTTTAGAAGATGTAATACGTTGTGACTCATACTATGAGACCAACCAAAAATATGAAAAAGTATGTTACTGCTGTTAAAGCTGTTGCACCACCACTAGTTTTGATATGCCAAAATATGGTATCAAAAGTCAAATGTGTGAATTATAGGCCTATTATACAATATCACATTAGGAAAAATAAATATTAGATAAAAAGTGAGACCTCAAATTTTTAATAAAATTTTGGTTGTTTGAACTGAGAATGAATGAAAAATGAAAATGAATACAAACCATAGTATAACCAGTCTGTTATTGGCGAGACAGCCAAACCACATTGGAATGTGTGTTCCACATCTTTCAAGAGAGTCATAGTTGTCAGATATCCTCCAAAATGTTTTCCCCAAATTGCTGTTCGTGATTTATCAATGAATGTAAATAAATCTTGAAGATTTCTGGAAGAGAAGAATGTCATTTGTTAATAGAAAACACATTAAGAGTTAAACAATAATATAATTTCTAGAAAATTAGTTGGAACAGACCTAGTAACATAAATAATATCATTTATTTCAACGGAACCAAGTTGCCTGTATATTATTTTAGACAGAGTGCTCCCTCTAAGTCCTGATCCACGTGCTGATATTCGAGCAAGAACTACATTTTTGCTGCCAGTAATGTAATCATTCCATTGAACAGAAAATTTTTCTGTGATAGGACAAGTTTCTGGTGATCCACTTCTGTGAAAACAAATTACTTGTATGAAAATTCAATCCATAGTATAAAGAGTGTGATCTTAAACATTTTGAACTAGAATGCAAATTGGAAGTTTTCTTTGGGGAAAAATTCAAAAATGAATAAAGCAAGGAAAGAATCACAGGTGGCATGATTAAACCAGTGTTTTTTGTTTGTTTTTAAACTTTTTTAAAATTGTTTAATTATTTTTTAAAATAATTACTAATTGTGGATGTGATGAATAATTTACACCCATGTGGCCTCTGACAAATACCTACTTTGAAAGTAGACCTATTCCCCAATGTATTTATGCCATTCATGTGTTCTTTTATTATTTCCTTAATTTGAATATTTCAAGGTCTAGGAATCATAAATTCGGCATTTTGAAAATGATTACAATAATTGGATTCATAGCAGGGTTAAATTAATATTTTTCCAGCAAGGGACATCCCCAACATGTGAGAGCACGGGTGTCTCTGGCATATAAATTTGGTGAGGGACATTAAAAAAAAGGAGAAATGAAAAATAATTACTAATGAAGGACAAAATATTTTTATGTATACCACATTATTGTTTCACTGTGTGAATATTATGAAATACATAAATATTGATATAATATGTTACAATGTTAAGTTATGTTACATCATGTTACGTTATAATATTAAGTGTCTTTAGTAGAAAATGAATTTACAATAAAACTAATGGATGTTTTTGAAAGTATGGAGGCACATGTTCCTCCCTGCCAGGGACATCTGTGCTTTAGGGGGATGATTCCTGGCAATCCTGCTTCTCAATCTGAATTCAACAACTACCAGTGACATCCCAGCCTTTGTGGTTCTTCTATGACTTTCTACTCATGTAAGAAAAATATACTGGTGCTCTAAATCATGCCAATTTTGGGACAAAATCCAGCAATTCAACAAAACTTTCCTTTACATAAATCATACACAGTCTATGTACAAGTTATTCCAATTAAAGAGGTTAACACTCACTTTCCTTTTTTTCCAATTAATTCTTTGTCTTCCTTGTAATATTTTCTCATACTTTGCAAAACAATTAAATTTCTCTTCTACCTTTGTGATCATTTAACTGAAAACTCAGACATAATTCTGTTTGCTTGTGGTTTTTTATTTTAAAGAGTGAATTTTATCTTTCCAGTAATGTGAGATTAACATCTACATCTCTGGAAAGACCAAATTCACTGTTTTGTTATTTAAAATATATTTGAGTTAATTTCCGAACTATTAAAAATATCTAAAATTCATCCCACAATAGATATTTCTGAAAAGGAAAGAAAGTTCCCAGATATATCTGTGAAAATTCAATGTAAAACATTAAATGTTTTGATAAGAAACATATTTTAAAACATGATTTACTTTTATCCCTTTATTTAATTTTTGTTTACCCAATCACACTTACAAATAGACTAAGAGAGGATACTTCTTGTTTTTCTTTGGGTTGTAGTCAGGTGGTATTCTCAGTTCTACATGAGCTTTTACTCCATCTGCAATTTCAATCTGTAAATACTGTTTGGTGGGTAAATGGCCCACTTTTTGTAATGCTGTCCTGATTTTTGCATTCTTTTCCCAAACAATCACTCTCATGTGACTCTACGCAAAAAAACAAAATATGGAAAGTAAAATAAAATATAGAATTAGATTTTAATATAATTAGTCTACAAAATAAAACCTCAAGAAAAAGAAATCATTAAAAGAGGGCATAAAATATTTAAAGGTGAAAATACTTAAAGCAAATTACTTTTAAAAGACATTTAAAGTACAGTAACTAACAGCATAACAAGATAAAGAGTTCTGATTAGACATTAAGTGTGATTTCGTATTTTATTACTATATTTATGTCAATGAGCTTTTTCATTCTTTTAGTTATTTACCACTTGATATGTTCATACAAATAAACTTGGCCAGCAATTCCAAGGAATGCCAAAACTTGATTACCCCCTTTGATAAGAAACTTTTTTGTTTTGGTCAGTAGAGGGTTTGATAAAATAGTTCTACCTAGCATCATTTAACAAATTCATGCCTATTGCAGAAGATATTTATATCTTTGCAGCAACTACTATGTACTAGCTACAACCATGTACTAGCCCCTGCGGCTTACATTGCTGTTGTTTTGTAGAGGATAAAAACATTTTTGTGTGTATAGTCTGTGCCACTAGCCACCATCACTGTGTGAATAATCTGTGTATCTCCCACCACTGGACACAATAAGAGGTATATTAACTATGGCGGAGCCTTAACAGAGGCACAATAAAAAAATTAATTTTTCAATCCAAGCAGAAATGGTCCCATTTGAGCTCATGGGGCCTTCCAAAAGTCATGGGGCCTCCCACAAGTCATTAAATTAATTTTGTGATTATAAACTGAATAATAGGAGTGAATATATTTATTGCTATAAACTATTAGATAAAATAAATGATTATCTTTGCAATTTCATGATATATTTTAAAACATACATTTTTGTTTTCTTTTCATTTAGAATTTTATCAATAACAGTAGAAATATTATTTTTCTACATCATTTTATTCATGCTCAATTGATAAAATATTGAAATTACTGTCTTGTGCCATTGTACATCCCAAATAAGTTTTAATCAGCTTTAATTTTAAAAACGTTCCTTGGGCTTTGATCAGGGTGACAGGAAGTGTCAAAAATAATGTGAATAGTATACAATCCTTAGGAAAACTTCAGCAATGTTCAGTTATTAATTTGTTTGCAAGATCTTGAACATATGCTAGTTTTGAAATTGACTTATGGTTGTGAACTATGGAAAACTATGGAACTTATGGTTGTGAAGCATCTTGACTCAAATTTTGTCAGGGTAAAATCTATTTATTCTAAATTTAAATCATCAAGAAAAAAGAAAAAAATTGAAGAAGAAAGTAAGAAATAATTATTTGACACTTGTAAGCAAGAAATGTGGTTGAATAATTATTAGAAATTCAATCCTTATTGTATAATAATAAATAATTAATAATAAAAATGATAATGGCTTTTTGCGAACTAGGCTTAATTCACTTTAAATACTTACTCGATCAAAAATACTAATTTCTGGAACACCTGGCCCTTCACAGTTGAGCATGTAAAATGAATTATCATCATTGAATGAAGCAGAATTATACTGACATGGCATGCCAATTTCGGAGGTCCTAATATGACATGTTATGCAGGCAGGAGTGTTTGGAGCCCTCCACTGATCATCAGACACACTGTATAGGTGCTGTATTGATGGAGAGTCAATTTCAGTAGCAAGAAAATATCTGCAATTATCAAGATCCAGTAAATTTTATAAAAGTGAAAACATTAAAACTGCTTTGTTGAAAATAATGAAGAGCATAAAATATTAACATTTTGTTATGTTGTTTATCCCAAGCAAGAATCTTCTTGACGGAATATTTTCCCATCGTAAGAGGCTTAATGAGAGCATTTCCTTGATTTTGTTGCACCAAGCATACATGAGGAAACTTTCCCTCTCTGTCTCCTTGATCTTGAGGGAGGATTAACACCATTCTTTGATCTTCAGATGAGAAAAAAGGGGCGGCTAAAAGTGGCAGCCATCCAGCTTCCTCATTGACTCTCAAAAGCTATAGAGAGAATGAGAATAAAAATGATATTTATTTAAAAAACGATTAAAAAGTATTACTTAAAATTGTATTGTAACTTACATCATAACGACTTCCTTTGTCATAATTAAAAACTGTCACAACAGCACGTGTCTGCAACCTATCCATCCAAACTGATGCTATTTCATCATTGTTCATCCAAGCAACAGCAGTCAACAAAACATCCCTGTAAATCATTTTTAAAGGTTCTTATGAGTAAAATATGTGTAACTTCTGAAGGAGGTTTACATATTTCAATGAAAATGTGTTTGTTTGTAGTATGGTTAGCACATTTGAAGTGTAATTGTGAAATAACGTACAGGAGTCTGTAAACAAAACTATATGAAAGTGTGTGAGGGTTCGTGTATTTGAATGAGAATGTATATTTATAATTGCTAGAGTAAGAATGAGAATTAGAGCAGTGTGTAGCTGTGTGTGTGAGGGTAAGTGCAAGTGTATTTCAGATATCAAAATGTAGTTCTGAGGCTAATGAACTGTATGTGAGAATAGGAGGGTAAATGTAAGTGAATGCATAATTGTGAGAAGAATTATATGGGTGTAAGTGTATAAGTAATGGTGTAAGTTAAGTATGTATATGTAAACTAGTGAAAATGTATGAATGAACATGATTATAAATGGGGAGCCATGGGTGTGAAAGAGATTACAGTGTTTGCAGGTAAGTGGAAGTGTATGTGTGAAGGGAACTGAGTTCAAATTAAGGTGAAGATAACAGGAAGGCTTCTTGAATTCCCAAGTAAGTGTGAGTATTTGAGATTAAGGTGTGAACCTAATTGTGGGTGTGTGAAAGAGAGAGGAAAAGTATAAGTGTGAGATATAAGCATAAAGTAAAGGTGCAAATCTATGTGTGTGCAAATGCATGAACATTTGTGTAAATATAAGAATAAATATGAGTGTATTCTTTTAACATGTGCTATTAAAATCACAGATTATGCTGCAAGTGCATTTATGACTTAAAATGTGAAGGAAAGTGTGACTTCATGTTCAAGTGCAAATTAAGAGCAAGTGTTTTAAATTGTTCTGAATTTGTGTAGATGTGAGTATTAAATTGGCACCTGCTCAAAAGTTTGGAAGACTATTCCTGGATGTTCAAGAAGCACCCACATCTTAATTGAACCATGCTTTTTATTTTTCCAGCATCTCTTAAATCTTACAAGGAGTTTCTAATGCTTGTCTTTTTAATATTTAAGTAATTAACAACTCATATTGGGAGTGAAAATTATATAATTTTGTAGAGAAAGCTTTTGAGAAGAATCATTACAGGAATACTGTGGGAATTGCTAATGACGTGAAGAATTGTAAAATATGAGATAGGATAATTTTGTTGCAAGTGTTCTCTTTCTCATATTTAATGGCATTTGGCATAAAGCATGGATTAGGCATATTGGTTACTACATTATTTTTATTGTAATGATTATTTGAGTGAAATTCAAAATCATATTTGACTCTTTATGTATTTTTCTGTAACACTTCCTTAGTTTTTGAGATGAATACAATTTCAATGAGAGATTGAGCTTATTAGATTCGGAGAAAGAAAACTATATTTTTAAATTAAAATGTTTTAATGAAGATAAATTGTAATTTCTTATTGTATAACTTCCACTATTTCCACCTTATAGTGTAACATTCATAAACCCTTACCCCTGCGACATTCCTCTTGGAAGAGGGGCATAGAGGGTGCTAAGCCTTTTCTGCAATTTGTACTCCAAGTCAAGTACACTCAAGGTAACAGTTGGTAAGGGAGTACCAGCCTGAAAATCATTAGGTTACAATCTCTATTATATCCTAAGGTGCAAAATTAAAAATAACAATAAATCAAATACACTGTGAATAATAAAATGTCTTCCTACTTTGGGATATCTTATTTGAAGGTTGTGAGGATACTGATAATGCAAGCTACCAGGCTTTCCATAATAGGTAATGTACGTAGCTTGAACATGTGTATTATTAAAAGAACCATATGCAAGTCGCTGTCCATTTGGAGATAGCCAGATAGCTACATCAGTTTTTAAAATAGCTTCTAAAAAAATAAAAAGATACATTATTTCACATAAAAAAGTTGATTATAGAAACACAAACACCTTTCCGTTAGGTCCTATTATGTGTTAAGTCAAAGGTAGTCACACAAATTGATGACTTAATTGTTGAATAATTTTCTTTTGTGTTTCAGTTTTTAAATCTCACTTGCATGTTTTTTCTTGAGTTCAGTGTTCTTTGAGAGAGGACTAAAATGTTTTGGTGAAGAGTGTTGCATTACAGTTTGTGTTGAACAATGCAGGAAACCCCAAAGCAAAATTTAAAAATTAAAATGATTTCTTGATAACATATTTTTTATATTTACACTCTATGCCTATGTCTATGTCTATGTCTTTTGCCTTTGCATAAAATTAAACTTCTGGAATTCTGCTTTGCCAATCTTCATAAAAAATGTATGATAAAAAGTATAGTGAGAGTGTAGGCTTCCGCTGCTGGAGTCAGTATTTAATTGTCTGTCCGGGTGACGCCGAGTCCATGGCAAAGGTGCCGACGTTTCATTCACCATTCTGCGACCTTTGCAATACACCCTGAGGAACACTTCTTCTTTGTTCTTGATTTCGTTAAAAGTTAGTTTTTTGTATCAGTGGTATTTTTTGACAGATATGAAATCTACTCGTCGTGCTTTGAATGATATAAACTCTGCAGTTTAAAATAATTTTCACTTATCTCATATTTTGTCATAATTCGTTATTGATGGACTAATTTTGATATTATGTAAGTAATCTGAATAGTTCAATCCATGATTTGTGAAGACTGCAAGGAAAAAACAAGTTAAGTTATACTTTTTTCCATTTTCCTTCTTTACAGTGTTGTCTAAAAATTTTACACAAGATTTCACAAAATATTAGTTTCTGTACTGTTGTCAGTGATATATTTTTTATATTTCATAATTTCATATTATTTACGATTAAAAATAAAGTTTTTTGGTGAAGATTCCAATACAACTGTGAACAATGTTTTTTTTCTAATTTTAGATTTCTTAAAGAAAAATAGCTGCTTTTGGAACCCAGAAAATTATTTATCATGAAGTATTATGTTATACCAATTTTTTTTTTGGTACATTATTTTGGCAATATTTAGGGAATTAAAAAAATCATATTATGATCATTAATGAAAATTTTCCTGAAGTTTGACAAGTGATTTAGAAAAATTGTGTTTTGAGGAATGATGGTGTCTCAAACAATGGTCATTGGCAGGTTGTTACTAAACCAAGTTAGTTTGCAGAAATCACAACAAATGGTTAATCCCACTTTTGTGATTTCACCTAAATGTGATTAGCTTCCACACAAATTAAAGAACTACCTCATTCAAAGATGATATTTTTTTTAAAAAAAACAACAACAAAAAACAAGGTCTACAGATTTTAAAATGTAAATGGGAAATTGCACTTTGGCAAAACAATAAGAATTTACAAAAAGCATCTCTCATTCTAGTCTTCAGGTCTCTGTTCTAGAAATTCTTGAAAGCTGTGATAGAGATATAATATATCCAACTACTCTCCAATAGATTAATTTCCAATAGATTTTCATTACTTTATCAGACTCAAATTCCAGTGCTGAATGTTCTTTCTCATCTCTATGATGCACATAAACTTGTATTTGAGCAACTGTGCTTGAGAAAGTGTTTTTTGGATTGGTGTTACATATCCATCATAATGTTATATTGAACCTAGAAGAAGTGTTGGATCAATTTTGAAAATGGAAAATCATAGAAACTATTCTGCTAATTTCCTAAGCGCACAGAATTTGAAGAAAATTATGGATCTCCTGCCTTTTGAGATGTGTCTATGATTTTGATAAATAAGGAACTAAAAAAAATCCAAATACACTGAAATTATTTTCATTTTGTCTGCAAAATTCAAATATATAAGTGTGCTATTCCTTCATTCTCATAGTGCAGATATCAATATAATTATCATACTCAATTTGACATTCAAATGCTGATGACACAGCTGACATACAACAGCATCTCCAAAGAAATGTCTATCTGCCATTATTTGCTATTCATATATTGCGTTATGGAACACCTTTTTGATATTCTTTGTGTATAAAGAACTCTTGTACTGTGTACCCATTTATATTACTACACTACGTTTTTGCTTTATTCGTAAAGTTGTTTTTTGTTAAAATATTTAATTTATTGTGGTGCTACATGAAAGCATTTTATATGTTGTTCTTCAACAGTCTGTGGGTTAGCTTTTGGAAAACCATTTTGTGTGTTGTTCAAAAGCATTTTTGCTGCTGCTGCAGGTCAATAATTGTATTATTAAAGTCTAAAATGCATTTTGTTATGCATTTTTATTTAAAATCAATGTTTATATCAGTTTAATAAAATGAAAAATGTATCATCTTAAACTTTCATTATTTGCAACTTTCAATTGAATGATTTTAATAACAAATTGTTGTTGTTGTTGTTATTATTATTATTATTATTATTATTATTATTATTATTATTATTATTATTATTATTATTAGTTTTTAATTTAAAACCATAAAGAATTTATTAATTATTAAAATTTGTTAAAAGCAATATATAATATTAACAGAGCCCAGCAGATGTCCTGCTCTCTCTCCTGCCTTCTTTCTCATGCTCTCTCTCATTCTCTCTTTCCCTCCTTCTCCCCACCTCTCCCTGCCTCTCTGTCTGTCTCTCTCTTCCTCTCATGCAGCCTATCTTGTCCTACTTTGCTTCGCTCTGCATCACACGAAAACAGCCAGCAACAATGTAGTGCGGGTGAATTGGAAATTGCATTTTTCTGAAGTGCCATCTTGTGATACGTGCCATCGAGTGGAGTACAACAAAATGAATGTGAAAAGCATAAAAATCTTTTCCATGAAAAGACTTGTAGAATATAATTTGTCTCTGTAGGTAATCTGTCCCTCCAACAAGCATGTTTGTCAGTCAGGGCTAGCAGTCGTGATTTGAAAACTAGAAATGTTTGCTCCCTAATGGTAGAAGGATTTGCATCAGCACACCACCTTCAGTTTTGATTTTATAATGCCACTGACCAAATAACAGCTCTTTTTGTCCTTATTCATCTTGCAACTAGCAAAAAAGCTCAAATTAACATGCATATAATGAAGCTACATTTACATCCAGAAACAAAATAAAACTCTCTCTTCATTGCACTTCGAAATAGGAGAGAAAAAAAGACTACCTTTGCCAAGTCTCTTAATTTATGGATCAGTAGTTTTAATCAAAACTGACTCTTATTTAATAGTGAGAATATTTTTTTTTTTGCAATTTCATCTCTTTGGACTTGGCTGCAGTGCTTGCAGAAATCAAATCATTACCATGTATGTGACTACAAGATATAACAACTCACTCTGACACTCAGTTCTCAGTAACTGAGAAGACAATTTTCTCCATACCTCTGTATAAATAGTCGGTTACTCCATGGAAGATAACATTGGGCTGTCCAGAGTGAGTAAGCTGTATCTGTATATTCAGGGCTGGATTAGGGACATAATATAGATCATTATGGTAAGCCATTATTATTTCACTTCTTCTTGAATTCCACATAGCAAATTGTAATAAATGTCTATCTTCATTAGGATAATTTTCATATCTCAAAGATTGATTTGTTCTGAAAGAAATTACACAAAAACATGTTACACACACAATTACACCTAATTATATAGAAATCATTAATCCATTTTAGAGAGGGAAAATAAAAATAATATTTAACAGGAACCTTTTCCCAAACTTGGTTCCAGTTTAAAAGAACACATTTTTTTAATAGTACCTATAAGGGGGGGGGGGGATTTCAAGAAATACTATTTTCAAATTACAGCGAGATAAATGACAAAAGATCAGATTGATTATTAAAATACCAGAACATACTGATTCCTGATGTTAATTATTTCATACTGTGCTACTGCAAGTTGTCCTGGAAGCTGCAACAAATTAAGATTATTATATGTCTACATATACAAACAATGTGTGTATTATAAATTCATATTGAATTGTGCTTCTTACCTTCGTTCTGTTGTGCATTGCTAAAAGAAAATGTTTACTGTGTGACATAGAATATTCAACATCACCACTCAGTGTTGGAATCTAGAGAAAAGAAAAAAATTGAGATAGAATTAGTTATTCAGTGTTATTTTACTTAATAAAATGTTTTGGTTTAAAAATGTTATAAATTAAGGAATAGATGTTATGAATGATGCCAACTGTCAATTTCCCTAGTCAGAGTAAACAGTCATCCTTCAAGAATTCTACTATTAATAACTAGCGCTAGCATTCATTTATAGTATCTAGTAAGTCTTTTTCTTGTGCCTGAAAAGCCAAACTGAACAAAGGCAAGGATTTCATCAAAATATGTTAATAAATTAAGAGTTGCTTGTGTTATGTCTCAAGTTTGCAAAGTAGAGAAACACACACACACAAAAATTGTTTGATCCATGATCTTCTGTTGACAATATTAAAAGTAAGTCTGAAATTGAATTATGATGGAAGTACAAGTAGTCTAAAATAGCAAGAGATAGTTGAGATGAAATTAGAAGATTTTTACCTCAACTTGAAAATAATCAAAACGAGGATTTTGGGATGAAGTCACACACTTAGCGTTAGAGTTGGTAACAGGGCTAGCAGTCATGACTTGAAAATGATAATTTTAAAACTTTTTGTTATCGTATTTAAGCATGGTAACTGCCATTTGTGTTGTCCAGCTTCAAATTAAGAAGCATGTCACGAAAATGGAATAAGTTAATTAAATTATTTTCCTCTAATAGAACATTAGCCGCTCAAAAAAAAATTGGTGGTCCCATTTTCAGCAAAGACTTTTCAAAACTTGTTAAAAAATTAACATTGCAGAAGTATAGTATTTATGATAACACTTTTTCCTTAATAAAATCTGTTCTATAAAATTAATTATTTTGCTTGATACAAATTTTTGAAAATAAAGTAGTTTTCATGTAATTTTTGTTTGAAGATGATGCAAATAAAACAAAATTCTAAAAGCTAGTCATAATTTTATTCTTTAAATTTTTACCCCAGATAGACTAAGGAACATCAAGCCCAATACTTGTGTGCTTGGGAGAACCAAGCACTTTCTTGCACAGAACACTGGTTGTGTGTTCGCAGGGTTGTGCTTTGTGGGTGGTTGAATTCAAATCGGGACATTAGATGCAGACAAGTAACACTATGTGTTATTGTTATGTGTTATTTCCACCATGGATGATACATTTTTATTTTCTCGTCTACTACATACTTATTATATGGTTCATTGTTATTGAAAAAAGGATCATTCATGTTCCTACACATAATACATTACTTCCTCTAACATGTGTTGTCACAACTTGTGGATCCTTTTTACTGAAAATGTTTTTTGGCAAAAAATCTTTCTGGAGCTGGATTTACTGTGGTGGGGGCCCCTGATCAAAAATTAGGTGGGGGAATCTCAGAAACACTTTAAAACTATTTATATTTATTAATTTTTGGTTACCATATACATGAATTTAAATAATGTTTTCATTGCTGTACAATCATCTAGCAGATCGTCAATTTTTTTTCTCCTTCAGAATATTGTCATTGCTTCTTAAAATAGCAAGATCCTTGAGGTGTCGAGTCAATGCAATTGCAATCAGTTTTTAACTATTTTTAATTTTGAAAATGGTTTATTGACAGTACAATTAGTTATCATCAAAATAAGATAAATTTTCAAAATGATTTCCACATTAGGGAAAGCATCGTGGACTTGCTTTTGTATTAATGCATTGTTATTAAATATCATAGAAAAATAGGCTATTTGGATATGAAATAAAATAATATAAATATAGAATTAAAACAAAATATATCAAAATTTTGTAGTGTAACAAATAAATTAAAATGATTGAATACAAATAAAGTATTGAAATGACAAGACATATATGAATTTGACTCATACCGTATGACTTTTGTTAAAATCCACATTTTCCCTCATATTTTGTATTTGGAGGAGGCACCTTCTTGGGGGGGGGGGCTCTTGGCCGCCGTCCACCTTGTCCACCCTTAAATTCGGCCCAGCGTGTGTCTGTATGTGAACAACGCTAGCGGCTAAACCGCAAGCAGGATTTTCACAAAAAATAATATTTCCTAGTCGATATGGATGATGCCGTCACCACTTGGTGTTTTACGTTTGGGGGATATTGTACATAAAGCCTCAAGGACATTTTAATATTAAAATAAATAAATAAAACACACTTCAAATGTTTTTTTGGTTAATCTTTCTTTAATTTGTTCCGTCTGTTATTCGCGCAGTGCGTCTCCAAACCCCTAGGAGGACGTTGAGCGCTTGCTTTAAGAAGTAATCCTCCGTTAATATTATATTGGTCTACTGTCCAGTCTCGTCTTCGTCTATTGTTGAGAGAACCGCCGGGTAGCAGCTTCACGTACGCGTCTCTCTCTTATGCGCTCCTGCTCACTACCCAGAGGCCAGAAGCGGGATGGAATTAGGGCAGTGGTAGGGGTTGGACTGGCCATTGCAAAGCAGCCAAACCTCGTTTTGTCGGAACAAATTTCGCATGAGGTTGTTTTGGTTTCGCATGAGGTTGGTTTCGCATGAGCTCCAGTTTTTTTCTGTTTTCGGCGTTTTGCTGCAACTACAAAATTGAAGACAGAGATTTTTCCTTTATGTAAAATTTGTTCTCCATAGTGAGTTCTTTCATTAAATCTAGCACATTTTTTGAAAATTTTAGTAGTTTTGGCGCAATATCGCGTGAAACATATGGAATTTAAAAAAATGATTTTCTCAAAAAACGCTCAAACTTTTAGAATTCTTTAAACTTTTGACAGGGATAGTACTAAACGTACTCTATTAGATGACATAAACGACATGGTACTCTATTCTTTTGTTTTCAGCAATTACAAAAATGTAGTTTTTTTTTTTACTTATCTCTCACGTTGTTTAAATTTATCTTTGCGGCGATTTGTTCACATTATTGTATTTATGTGTTCATGTGCTTTAAATGATGTCATGTACAGTTTCTCAAAAGCTCAACAGTTTTATGTGAAAACTGGCTCAAAATTCAGAATTTTCAGAAACGCTCAAAAGCCATTTTCTAAAACATGGCTCCATTTTCTCAAACTTTTCGAACGGATAGTGCTTATTGCTCTCATTAATATGTCGTAAAGTTTATTTTGGGGGGTATATTTTTGTTTTTCAAAAATTACACAAATGTAATGTTTTGGAAGATCTTACACACCATTTATTTATTTATTTACGCCAAAAACAGTTAAAAACTGTGTATGACGGGCTATGGGGAGAAATTAATTTGAAGTTACATTTATGTCCAGAAGCAAAACAAGGGGCCATCCCAGCATTTGCTCGAGGATCAGGGAAACGACGAAAACCTGATCGAGATGGGGACTATTGACCCAGAAGCTAAAGTACAATACTTGTTACAGGTTCTTTACAATTATACAATCCAAATGATATATAATACATTAAATGTCATTTTAAAAATTAATATTACTTTCCTGTACTGAGCATCCAAGCTCAGTACAGTCTCTAATTGTATAGAAACAGTTGTGCAGCAGAAAAGATTTTTCTTGGGGCTTAAATTTTTGTATCGAATTTAATCGTTTAATGTCATCTGGCAAGGTGTTGTAAAATAATGTACACGTATTATATGTGAATTTTTTGTAGTGAGCTGTTGATACTGTTACCTCATGAATGTGTCGTCGTCGACTACGTCGAGTGTTGTCGTTATAGACAATTGCGTTTGCTGAAAATATATTCCTGTCCTTAAGTAAGTTATTTTTTACAAAAACCACTGATTCATATATTAAGAGACAAGGTAATGGTAAAATACCTAGATTAATAAAGAGAGGCTTACAAGAATCACGTGGGTGGGATTTGCTTATTATTCGTACAATTCGTTTTTGTAATCTAAAAGTCTGGGAGCTAGAAGATGTATTTCCCCAGAATATTATGCCATATCTCAGGCGGGAATGAACATTCGCGAAGTATACACAACGAGTAGTGTTGAGGCTGACTGAATTTGGAAGAAGTCTGAAAGCATAGCATAAAGAACATATTTTTGTGTTCAGTTCATTTAAATGGAGGTTCCATTTAAGGTTTGACTGAATTGAAAGACCTAAAAATTTTGTTACCGTAACATCAGTCAATAGAACGCCGTTCATTTTCAATGAAGTGTCGAGCTGTTTATTTGAAATGGAGAACTGCACTGAAACAGTTTTCTTTTCATTTACTATTAATTTGTTATTACGAAACCAATTTGAAATATCTGATATTATACTATTTACGATTTCTTTATTGCAAAGAATATTCGTATCGTCCGCAAAGAGAACTGTTCTTCCGTTACTGATCGTCGAGGGAATATCGTTTACGTGTAGTAGGACGAGAATAGGGCCTAAAATCGATCCTTGCGGAACTCCACATGCAATTTGCAAAGAATCAGAAAGGTGTGTACATAATGTTACATTATTCCAGTAAGGCATTTCTACCATTAAGGTAATGTACCATTAATATGCACATTTCCAGCAATTTGTAAACACGATTGCATTTGTGAGTTAATGTGCTTCAAATTACTTCTGATTAAGTTTTTCGAAAACAAAAAAATTTCTGTGAAAAAGAGCTTCAAATTTCGAATTTACAGTAGTGCTTAAACACCATTTTTTCAAAATCGGCTTCAAATTTTTCAAAGGAAATTGCGCTGTTTTACTGTTCTTTAATATCCTTAAAATAATATTTCCGTTCTACTATTAGGAAAATGAAAAAAATAAGAAAATGTCGAAAATGTATTTTGGGTTGCGATAGATGGCAGCTGGGAAGAGAATATGTGGCAAGTCCGAAGAGCTAACTGAGACAAAAGGAAATAGAAAACTAATACGAGAAAGTCTGTGCCATTCTGGGGCTCAATTAGTTTCATTACGCCATATAGGAAACGCCAAAAACTTTTGAGATAATGCATACACTATGCTAAAATTGCCACACTTTTGTTCAGGCCACGCGTGGAAGTGGTGACGTATTTCCTCTTGTAAAAATCTAAAATTTTATTAGAAAGGTACTTTCACGGCTTACTGGATAAGGAATGTGTGATACGAAGCTCAGTCAAATAGATAATATCGATTTTTAACATGATAAGAACCACGATGCAACGTTGGCACACGGTACACTAACTTAATATCAAAAATATTACTGAAAAGGAAATGTAATTTTAGGAAACATTAATTTACAGTGATTGAAAAGACGTTCGCTCTTTGTAAAACAAAAATATAGACAATTTACTGCTTTTGAAGAATAACTACTAATGTGAGGTCAAACGCTAAATATACGGACATGTGTTGCTAAAAACGGATATCCTTCTACCCGTATTCGCCGTTTTTGATCTTCACATTTCTCGGTTCTCCCCGTTGACCCTTTTCCAATCCTTACTCCATTCGCAAATCAGCCTTCCAGTACAAAACAGGTCTTCCTCTTCTAGGTCTTCTCTCAGGTATCCAATTAAAAATTGTTAATACTTTCATTATATTAATGGACAAAAATAATTTTTAATACTTTTTTCGCTCCCCCATCCAAGCAACTACTTATTTTGCTTGTAGGTAAATTCAGTCCCGCGTAGATGGCGCTAAGGGCTATTAGACGAGGGGTCCTGATCGGTTCAGAGAACGTCCACCACTTCAGTTTGTGAGTAAAATCTGATACTATGCATTCAAAACCCGATATGTTTAATTGGAATATAGAAAACACCTCACGGGACTATATTGCACATGACTGTTAGAATAAAATTGGCGGAGTAAATGTAGAAATGACAAAATGTGCAATTTAATGAGCTATTACTCATTCACATTTTTAAATATTAACAATCGACGAGAGGATAATTACAATAATGGTAATAATATTAATAATATTATTATTATTATTAATATTAAAAATAATAATATTAATAATAATAATGAACATTAATGTTGGTCTCAAATACATTGAGTTTGAATGGTAATACGTTGTGATTCATTTGAACTATTTTATACACTCACCACGTGGAAATTACTAGTAAGGAGTTTTGTGGAACGAGAATACAAATTAAGCAGAATGGCGTTGTTTCCTTTGTCTCTGAACATTATATCACTCTCTGAAAAATAAATCACATGATTTAGTTTATGAAGCTAGATTAGTTTATAAAAAGACAAAAGAGATAAGCGCATCTCACCAGATACCCAGGTTCCATTGAACGGCACTGGTGTGAACTCATCAGCAATGATATCTTCTAGCCGTAGATGGGCCCTTCTATGCCAGGCCTCAGTCAATGTGTACTTAATCATAATTCCACCCATCACCACGACCATGAGAACTACAGCTACCATCGCCACGGCAGCTGCCACCGGACGCTTGTTCTGAGTCCAAGGCAGTTTTTCCTGGAATTAAAATTAATATTATTAAAAATTAATAAAATAACACAAGTTTGCAAAAATTTGCCGCGTTTGATCGATTTTGCTTCCATGAATACTGTAACGGTACAAGCTCCTGCGTTGGAAAATGTCCATGAAAAAAAAGAAAAAAATAGCAGACGCAAAAAAAAATAGCAAGACGCCCGCGAGCCGAGTAATGCACTGCGAGAAGGGGGGGGGGGGTCGTAAAGGCATTACGCGTATGGGGGCGGCCCGTCCGTCTATTGAGGAGGGTTTCTATAAACGTTTATTGGCAGGATCAGCGAGTCCGCGCGCACATGTCAAGTGAGTGCGCCTATTCAAGTGCGACCGCTCAATGAAATGAACCCCAAACCGCTGAGTGCGCCTCCTCGGGGGAAGAATTTACAACCAAACGGTCAGCGGCGCAACGTGCGGAGAAAAAGGCCGATAGTTTTTTTACAACAATAACGGACTTCTGGCCGTTTAGCCCTCGAGTTCCGTGATAGCTGGTCAGCCACACGCCTCCACCCTGCTCCGGAAATTCAACCCCGCGTATGCGGGAGGATCACACGGTTCTTTGGAGGGGGAGGGGGTACACGAGGTTTGATGTTTACTTTAGCCCACCGCTCGTAAGGAACTGGATGGCTTGAGAGACGGCCGGGAGTGGTCGATTAGACTGGATGGTCTTGAAGACGGACGGAGTGGTCCGATTCGGAGAACTGTGTGACTTGAAACGCCAGAGATAGTTCCTTCACTTGTCTGACTCGGCCGATGAGAACCAATTGTTCAAATACTCTCGATTCGATTAGTCTCGGTCACGATTATTCACACTTCGCTTGCTCAGTTAATTTCAAGTACATCTCGAAGCATACTTGCAGAGGGAAGTTGTTTGACTTCACCATTGATGCACCGTGGCTGCCTGAGGTTTGGTGACGCTGATTGGAAGTAGTGGGGCCCGCGGGAGAGTCAGCGGGCGAAAGGCGACATTACAATCCCGGCGCACGCTGGGAGCGCCGTGTTCACGCCTCTGCCTGGAGAGGGAGGCGGCCCGAAACAGGGACGACGAGGCGAACTAACACCGGAGCGTGCAATGAGGCTCGCCAACAGAAACGAGGGGTAATAATCCGCTTGGTCCGCATAAATGCGGTCGACCGACTTACTGAAGCGATGCGAGGGGTGGAAAAGGGTGCCTTGTCAGAACAAATGTAACCTTGACTGACTCATCGCATTATTTTTCTCACTCTCCGTATATTAATGGTAAATAGATGACGCGATGTCAATAAATACAACAGAAGGGTCAGTTTTATATTTTCTACTCTCACACACACTCTGTAAAATAATTGTAATTCATGCATCATCATCATCATCATTATCAATTTTTTAAAGTAAAATGTTTTGGGGTTACGAAAATGGTTTTTCTCGAACCATCTACTCTACTGAACCACTCCCTCCAAATTCCCGTAGTCCAGACAGACAGACAACACGGTAAGGGGCTTAATACCATTAACCCCTAATGCGTACATTTTTGAAAATTTAAGATTTTTATTTTCCGGTATGTCTCTCTCGCTCTCTAATATTTCGTATTCGTCTTTGTCTTAGTCTTCGTTTCCGGATACCTCAAGTCCTGGATTTCTTATGCGCAAGCTGCCTTCGTCGTTCGTTTCTTCGACTTCGTCTTTCGTCTTCATCTGTCGTCTTCCCTGGTGATTCGCGGTCCTTTTCGTCGTTGACGTCGTCGTGTAACCTCGTCCTCATCTTCTTCAATCGTCAATTAGTCTTCCTAACCTCCGTTCGCCTTACTTCCGTTCAATTTGTGATTCCGCGCGCGTTTAAATCGTTAGTAGCTTCAATCTCTCGCCTTCGATCTTCGTGCTTTCGTCTCGGTTCCTCGGTCTTCCTTTTCGTCTTCCTACTTGCGTCTCGTCTTCGTCTTTCGTCTTTTCTTCGGTCTTGCTTTTTCGTCTTAGTCTTCGTTTCGTAGCCTTGCGTCCTTCGTCTTCGTCTTCGTCATTCGTACTTCGTACTTCAGGTCTTCTGTCTCGTCTTCGTCTTCGTCCTTCGTCTTCGTCTTCGTCTCGGACTTCGTCCTTTCGTCTCGTCTCGTCTTTCGTCTTCGTCTTGTTTCGTCTTCGATTCGTCTTCGTCTTCGTCTTCGTCTTCGTCTTCGTCTTCTCTTCCTCTTCCTCTTTCGGTCTCCTTCGTCGTAATTCGCGAAGTTCGTCTTTCGTTCTCAACTCTAGCCTTTTTCGTTTCGCATTCAACATCGAATTCGTCATTCTCTTCTTTCTATCGCCTTCATCTTTTCGTTTC